TGCTAGGTTGACAACACCTTCGGTGCTGGAGGTTACTTCATCCGTCCTATCGACCATGGCGCTGATATTGTTGTCCACTCTGCCACCAAATGGATTGGTGGCCACGGAACTACCATCGGAGGCGTCGTCGTCGACTCTGGAAAGTTTGACTGGGGCAAGAACGCTGCTCGCTTCCCTCAATTCCACGAGCCCTCGGAAGGCTACCACGGCCTCAAGTTCTACGAGACCTTTGGCAACATTACTTTCATCATCCGTGCCCGTGTTGAGATCCTCCGTGATCTCGGCTCCGCGTTAAACCCCTTCGCCGCCCAGCAACTGCTTCTGGGTATCGAGACTCTCAGCTTGCGAGCCGAGCGCCATGCTCAGAACGCTCTGGCTCTGGCACAGCACCTCGAGAAGAGTCCTTATGTCAGCTGGGTTTCGTACCCTGGTCTGGAGAGTCATCCGTACCACGAGACGGCTAAGAAATACCTGAAGAGAGGCTTTGGTGGTGTTCTTAGCTTTGGCGTCAAGGGTGGTGGTGCTGGCAGCGAAGTTGTTGATGGCTTCAAGCTTATTTCTAACCTTGCCAATGTCGGTGACGCTAAGACATTGGCCATCCACCCCTGGAGCACCACTCACGAGCAACTCTCCGATGATGAGAAGCGAAGCTCTGGTGTCACTGAGGTATGTTGCCTGAACCCTAACCCGCATGCATCTGGCTAACAGTAAGCAGGATCTTATTCGAATCTCTGTTGGTATCGAGCATATTGATGACATTATTGCCGACTTTGAGCAATCTTTCAAGGCTGCTTCAGATGCCACCACCAAGGGTGCGAAGAAGGAGATCCCCCTTGGCGATAAGGAAGCCGAGGCTCCTCTTGCCCCTTGAATAAAGGTTTGATGTGTAGACAAGGGGGAGTGGTTTTGGAATGATTTTGATAAAATACCCACTTAGGCTTTGAGAAATAAGAAAGGATGATTATTCTACCAACTAGTTTGTTTGAACATATTTTCTGACATACCAAGTTACATTAAGCTTCTATTCGTCCCATGAATTTGACTGCTATAGTAAAACTCGTACGTGTGTTGTCGATATCCCACACGTCACAATCCATTCAACGGATAAGAACCACTTGGTTGTTGCAGGTCTCAGCACTGTAGGATGTATCAAGCATTCTACCCAGCCAACGCACATAGGTAAGCATGAACAATCTCAGCACTATCACTATTAATCTTCAAATCCTAAGCGCTTCTTTGTTTGTCTTGGCGGTTAACAATAGCCATCCCCCGGAATCTCACTCGCTCCCCCTGGTGGCAAGCGTGGAGAGAAATAACTCTGATTCCCCTCCATCCAAAGGATAAAAGTCGGACTGCTCAAGTAAAGACCTATAGATGTTCAGTCCGCTTTTCAAGAGGTAACGTACGGTACCTCTTTGATGGATTCTACTTCGTTGCGAGTATACAAGGTAGAACCACTGTACCCGATGGTCAAAAGAATAATATCTTTATGATGCGGGGGCTTTCTGTCGTTTATATAGACACATAAAGAGAGTTCGATCCATGATTTGGATTTTCCTGATTCGTACCACTCGTGAGTTAAAACTGTGTGTATTGTGAAGAGCTTATTTCAACCCTTGACACTGGGCAATAACTTACGTTATGTGAAGTCTCATACAGAGTCTCTTGGTAGGGATGTTTGTAACTACTCACGATCCCAGCTATATGTACGCACGTGTTAGACTAACAATTCAGTATTATTCGTGGCGGCTCGCTAACGATCTAAAAAGAGGTGCAAGCTTTACAGTAATTCCCCAATAGTGCAACAGAAGAACAATTCAGTATTATAATCAATTCTACATCCAACATCCAAACAACATCGCATATATACGACTAAAAGATATTAGTCTTACAAAGGACTTATTCAGGAAAGGTTCAGAAAACGTTGTTCCTCTCGAGGCATTCTAGCAGATAGAGTATAGGGTAGATTATAGAGTATGGCATGAGGTTCAACCACCCTGCTCCGTATAGTAGTTCGGATTTGCTTTGTCATCTCGATGGCGGGTTAAACAGATACTTTTGTTTGCGTATAGACTAGATGGGATAGAGGTGAGTTGGATTGGTGGTTGGTGGAACACAACAAGGCGGGGGATCAACATCAGAGCGGCCGACCCTGGATATTAGTGGCACAAGCTTAAAGCCACTTGAAAGAGAACTTATAAGAAGATGAAAGAGAGTGCCCAGTATTAGTGAATATTAAAGAAGAAGGGTTCTGAAGAATATCCCGCTTTATGTAACAAGGAACCGAATGTTATGTAAGAACGCGATAGCCTCTAATATTCACAGCCAAAGCAGTGTAGGTAGCATATCAGTAGAGTTTTAGCCAACCACCATGAAATAGCTGCATGCGCATGTACATGGCTTGGTAATAGTCCAGTCAGCTCAGCTCAGCTCTCCGTTTTCACCTAAGACAGGAAGGGGTAAAAACGCTTAACAGGACCTAAACCTCCACCCCAACTTCATCTTTACTCCTCACTCTCAACCTCAAGAAGCACAAGATGAATTGCAACGAGCTTCAGGAACACGCCAGAGCAGATTGCTTTCTTGTCAAGAAACCAAGGGCGCTGCAGTGGTTCTACAAAGGAGAGCTTCAAAAGGAAAAGGAAGAGGAGCGTCAGGCGGGACGGTTTGAGCTCTTCCTTGACCTTCTATGTAAGACAACCCCCCTCTTTGTTTCGGGTGAATAAGTGTTAACTTGGGTTTCGAGATGTTGCCATTGTTGCGAACTTTAGCGATGAGCTCGCTGAACACCCTGACGGAGCTCATTTGGCAAAGTACATTCTCATCTTTGCGCCGGCCTGGCATATCTGGGCCGATCTTCGCGAGATCATGAACTCGTACTATACTGATGATATCCTACAGCGTCTAGTCATCCTCTGGGTCATGGCTCTTCTTGTACTTTACGCCAACAATGCCAACGACGCGGATGTGGATATTTCGGCGATGCGCACGACTGTTGGAGCGTATCTTGTTGCACGCTTCACTACGCTCGCTGTCTTCCTCATCACCTCATTCGCAGCGTATCAACATCGTGCTCAAGCTCGAATCATGGCCGGGTTCATGTTTGTTGGTCTGCTCATCACCATCCCCCTCTTCTTGGAGGATATCAGTATTCACGCAAAGGCCGCCATTGTCGCTGTGGCAATATTCTACCAGGAAGCAACATGGGCGCTTACTTTGAGCCCCTGGATCAAAGGCAAGCTGAAGTTGACATATAGCACGGCTGTGGACATTGCGCACGAGATTGACCGCATGGGCGCTTTTTTCATCATCATCCTCGGTGAATTCGTGTACAGCATCATTGTTGGCAACAAGACGGGAATCGGCTTGACTTCTGGCTATGCCAAGGCCGTCTGCACACTGGTGATAGCGTTTGTGCTTAACTGGATCTACTCAAGCGGCGATGGCAGCGTACAAGCCATACATCCGATCCGGCGATCAGCTTGGACAGCCTTTGGCTTTTTCCTCCTGCATCTCCCACTCGCAGCGTCGTTCCTAATCGGAGGACACGTCGCAGCTGCGAGCACGGCGATAGAGGAGTTCGAAGATGGACAGCGCTGGCTTCTCGGCGGAGGGCTTGGGGTCGGCATGTTTTGCCTCTGGGTGTATGGGATGCTATACCGAGTAGAGGGCGAGTGCACGCTGCTCATGGGCCAGACTCTACGGATTGGTATGAGATTGGCCATTGCCATCGTTCTCATCATACTACCCGAGTCACATAATCATCTTAACGCCGAGGACTTTATGTTTGTTGTCATGGCTTTGTTTGCGTTTCTCTTGATATGGGAGACTTTGGGAGGTTTGTCCAAGACATCAAAGCTCTTTGAGCCTTGGTCGGATAGACATCCGCCGCCCGAGGAGGATGACAGAGAAGGCTTGGCTGCTTAGCTAGTAGGTTGTTGTCATTACGTACCTGTATATGAGTGGAAGCTTTGGAATATTTCGAAAAGCACCGCCACATCGATGAATCGCCACGGATTGCGTCATGCGTGGCGCATGCTGTCAATGCGAATGCGGCTCTCGTTGTCCACGGATCTCCGTTGTCGAATTTGGTTGTGATAATTTGTAATTCTGTATTGGAAGAATGAGACGAGAGGCAGCCGACTACGAGATATTCCCGTACGCCGCTCTCTGAAACCTATTTGAACTGCGACTACGAACTAGTCCAGGATTAGCAGTGCATGCGCAAGAAAGAAGCTTCAACCATTAACCTGCAGCTCTGGACTGGTCCAATTTACCCCGGGCAATCTTGGCGCATGTCACTCACTTTCTCTATGATTCGTTATGTTGTTGAAGAGAAGAGATTTTGGTCTTGGATGATTTCAGTCTTTAAAGAAATGGTTGGTTTCTAGAGAATGAATATTGGTTAGGATGAGCTAAAAAGAATAGAACAAAATAGAAGATAGACTGCTTGCTATCTACAGACAGGAACTGTCAGTTAACATCAGTCTAAAGAAAAGGTGGCTGTGCTATCTACAATGACAGCTTCTACACCAATGGCGTCACCTGCGCTTCACATTCGGGGGAGGGGCTACTGGGGTTTTGGGTAATTGCCCCTCCAGCTCCAGCACCATCACATCACGTCCGCGGGTGGCGTGAACCGTGAGTGACGAAAACTGAAAGGAAGCTGCGAAACACTCAAGGTCACAAGTGGCAGGTGCCGGATTGTCAGGGACCTGAAGAGGTCAACATGTACCTACACTTAAATAGCCCGACCATTCTTAAAAGAGACCTGCTTAGTAGCCTTTATTCCAACCTTATTAACTCTTGACTCTGAATCGCATTTCCCCTCTTTACTTTACTTTAGTACCTTAGTATACTTACTTATACCCACCTACTACATCATTAACTGCCAACTCTTGATATTTCTCAACCTACCAACAAACACCTTGCACAATCCTATCGTCGCACTCTAGAAACAACTTCTCTCCTCGTCGCATACACTTTCAAATCCTACTTCCATGGCCGATTTCGCTCCTCCAGCTGGCCCGCCTCCTCCCAAGGCCCCCGAGGTCCCTGCCGGATGGGCCGTGCGATGGAACGACCAGTACAAGGAATGGTAAGAGCACGCGCATCTTTATCTACTAGCGCATCTTTGTCACTAACATTTGCGCCCCAGGTTCTACGTCAACGTATACACGAAACAGTCCCAATGGGAGAAACCTACTGCCCCCGTCTTCCCTAATGATGACGGTGCGCCCGCCGGTCCTCCTCCCGGATACGAGCCAGGCAACACGCCTGTAGTTACAGACACCAAGAAGAACCCCTATGAAGATGTCACAGCCAGCGCCGGTGGTTCATCTCAAGACGAAGACGCCAAGTTAGCCGCTCGGCTCCAAGCCGAAGAAGATGCGCGTGCGCTCAGTGGCCCTGGCGGCCCAGATGTTCCTGCAGGATATGGCGGCTCGAATAGCCCGTTCCCCCAGAGCAACAGCCCTTATCCTCAACAACAAAGCGGCAGCAGTTACCCCGCAGAACTACCCCCGAGGGACCGGGGTGCTAAGAGTGGCGGCTTCCTAGGAAAGCTGCTCGGTAAGGGCAAGCAGATGGCTGACAAGCATCAACAACAAGGTGCTCATGGTGGATATGGCGGAGCTCAGGGTAGCATGGGTGGTGGTTACCCTCAGCAGCAGTACTATCCTCAGCAACCTCAGGGTGGCTACCCAGGACATGGCCCTCCTATGGGCTATGGCGCTCAGCCCCATTATGGTGGTGGTTACGGCGCACCAGGTGGCTATGGTGGATATGGAGGCGGCCCCGGCTACGGCCAACATGGCGGCGGTTTCGGCGGTGGTGGTATGGGAGGTGGTCGCAAACCGGGAGGTGGGGGTATGGGCATGGCAGGAGGTGCTGCTCTCGGTGCCGGTGCCGGTCTGCTCGGTGGTGCCATGCTCATGAACTCATTCGACAACGATGAGCAAGATGCCTATCAAGACGGTTTCGGTAAGTTTCTGACCCAAAATCCGTATGCGTCTAAAGTGGTGTGCTAACTGTTTATACAGAGGACGGTGCTGATTTCGACGGCGGTGACGAGTAAACACTGGATCGCGCTGTACACGTTTGATTGAGTAGTATGCTTAGTATGGTGCTAGATTGGGATAGGTTTGCTACGCCTTATGACTTTTGGAATGACAGAGAATTGGGTTTTGGATAAACAAGCGTACCACTACATTGAGTTATCATATTAGTCGGTCCTCGGTCAGAATCTCAGACTCGAGACAATATAAATCAATCGAATAATGATATCCATCTAACTGCATATGATGCCATGTCTTATGATGTTGCCTCTCTATTACCCACCGATATGTCCTGGAACTGAATATCCACCTTTTGTCACTGTTATATACTTTACCAGTTGTGAATGTTTTACCGTCTCACGCCCTGGTTCTTAGAATTTCCGCCATTGTTGGATGCGGCCGGGCTGCCGCCCTCCTTGGGCTTGGAACCAGCAAGGTACGCAGCCATGTCGAAGTTGGTAAGAGGGTTGTCACTAGAAGCCTGGCCACTCATGACACCGCTCAGGGCACTGTTCTTTCGCTGCTCTTCGAATTCGGCACGCATTTCGGGATCCACTGTGACTCTTGTTAGTATAAATTGGATGCAGAAAGGGGACGGTAAGACATACTGCTGTCCATGAGCTTCGGCATACCAACCATGAGACCCAGACTGACAACAGCCATGAGAATCATGGGGTTCTTGAGGATGGAAAGGACGGAAACTAAAATCATGTCAGTATTGTCATAAAATCAACAGGTCATCTCATAGTGGTGGCGACTTACATTGAGGCCTCTCCATAAAGTAATTCTTCCCTCCAATAGCCCGAACCTCAAAGCCCCTGCCCTTGGTTCCCTCCTTTACAGGCATAACCTCTCCTTTGTTGTTCCAGTCATTACCTCTAAACGTCTCCCACGCACGCACAATGCCCTCGCCACCCTCCTCAGGCTGCACATCGATTCTCACCGGGTGGAACGCGTCCGTTGGGCAGTGTATGTCAGCGAGGTACGATCCAGGCGTGACATTGTGGAAGACAAATGTGTTGGCAGCAGACAGAGGAGCCGAGATATGAACGCCTGCTGAGGAGAGCGTTGCGTGCGTCGAGGCGGGAAGGGTGAAGGGGTTGGGCTTTGCGGGGAGGTAGAGCGTTAGAGAGTCGGAGGCGAGAGCGGCAGGGAGGGCGAGAAGCGCGGCGAAGAGGGCGCTTGTATCGAAAGTCGTGAAGCGCATTTTGTTGTATTGGCGTTAGGATCGACAAGGCAGAGGAAGAGGAAGGGAGGTAGAGATGACGGTGATGATGGAGGTTGATATTGGCAAGTTGTGACGTTTCTAGTGTTGAGCTGTAGAGACCAAGTGGGCCAATCAGAGATGCTTAAGCCGCGGGTGTGGCTTGGAGCCGATGCAGCCACCGTCAATATCAATCATTTTAAGATCGAGTGCAGACAGACAGTACAAGCAGAAATATCTAGCTAGCTGTCGTTAAGTACGTTAGTCTTTTAAGTATAGGATAGTTAGAACGTTGACTCCTCAAGTTAAATTTCGAAAAAAAAAAAAAAAAAAAAAAAAAAAAACTGTCATGGTTAGCAAAGCTTCTTTCACCTCGGCTAACCTTGTGTATTTCGTCCCAGAGCAGATTTTTGAGACATGCCAGCGCAAGGGGCTGGCTACCTTACTACTCATCACTATAAAAAGAAGAATGCAAAAGCCCACTCACAAAGAATAAACTCTCAGCATGACATGAAAAGAGTGGCATAGACGCTCATCTAAATTACGCTCTTCTAAAAACTATTTATTTGGGTATCGAGTTCATCAAAGACGCATGAGTCCACTCCTTCGTTTCCCGTGATATGAATCAGACATTTCAGTTCATCCGGCGTCACAGATCGTATAACAAACACTTTTTGGTTTCATCAGCAGCATTATCCCAATTCAAAATCCTCCGCTTAAGCCTCGGCAGTGCCGTTGGTGGCACTCTTCTCCTTGAGCTCCTTGACCTCAGCCTCAAGAGCTGTAACCTTCTCAAGGGCGTCCTTCTTCTCACCCTGGATGGCCTTAACCTTCTCGAGGGCACTGCTGAAGGCAGACTGTGCTGCCTTAGCCTTGTCCTCAGCATCGGTCTTCTCCTTCTCGAGAGCAGAGGCCTTCTCTTCGGCGGCCTTCTTCTCAGACTCCAGAGACTCGACCTTCTGGGCGGCCTCCTCAGCCTTGGCGAACTTCTCCTTGAGCTCCTTGAGCTCGTCCTCGAGAGACTTTGTCTTGTCAGCAGACTCCTTCTTCTCGGCTTCAGCAGCGGCTTGAGCTTCCTCAAGCTGCTTCTTCAGCTCGACCTCGGAGTCTTGGGCCTTCTTGGCGTCAGCCTCGAGAGTAGTAACCTTGGCCACGGCCTCCTTAGCCTTAGCAGCCTCGGCTTCAAGGCTCTCGATCTTAGCCTCAGCTTCATCAACCTTGGTCTTCAGCTCGGACTCAGAATCCTGAGCCTTCTTGGCGTCAGCCTCAAGGGCGGCAACCTTGGCCTCAGCCTCTTCGACCTTGGTCTTCAGCTCGGACTCGGACTCCTTGGCCTTTGCGGCCTCAGACTCGAGGTTCTTGACCTTGTCCTCGGCCTCCTGAAGCTTGGTGGTAAGGCCAGACTCAGACTCCTTGGAGTTCGCAGCATTGGATTCAAGATCGGCAATCTTGGACTCAAGTTCCTTCTTCTCCTATGCGAGTGTTAGTGCATGAGCAAGTATTGAACTGTGTTGTTTGCTTACTGTTTGGAAAGCGTCAAGGTCTTCTTCAGCCTTGGCGGCCTTGGACTGAGCCTCCTCAATCTGTTGCTCGAGGTCGGCAAGCTTTGTTGACTTCTCGTTGAGCTCCTTCTCAATGGACTCGCGCTTCTCAGTGGCGGCCTTGAGCTCAGCCTCGGTCTCCTCCTGCTTCTTCTGAGATGTCTCGTGGTCGCCAGTGACAGTCTTGAGCTTCTCAGCCTGCTCGTCACGCTCCTTCTTGAGAGCCTCATGCTCGTCGGCAGTGGACTTGAGCTTAGCCTCAAGTTCGGCGGCTTCCTTCTTGACCTGCTCGAGCTCAGCGGAAGAGTCGCCCTGAGCCTTGGTCAAGGCAGTGGTGTGCTCCTCGGCAAGCTTCTTCTGGGTCTCCTCGGAAGCAGCAAGATCCTTCTTGGCAGCCTCGAGGTCCTGGGTCAGACCATCGTGGGTTGTCTGGAGAGAGCTGTGCTTCTCCTTCCACTCGGCAGCATCCTTCTGGGCGGCCACGAGCTCGGAAGAGGAGTCACTCTTGAGAGACTCGTTGGTCTTCTCGAGGTCGGCGAACTTCTCCTTGAGCTCGGCAAGCTCGTTCTCAAGAGACTTGTTGGTCTCCTCAAGAGCGGCGTACTTGGTCTGGAGATCAGACAGTTCAGCCAGCTGCTTCTTGAGCTCAGACAACTCATTCTCAGAGTCGGCCTGGTGCTTGCCGTGTGTTTCTTGGAGGGTGTTGATCTTCTCCTGGGCCTCGGCGAGGTCCTTCTTTGCGGCGGCGATCTGGGAGTCGGACTGTTCCTTGACACTGTCGAGAGTCACTTGGAGGGCGGCGTACTTCTCCTCTGAACCGGCCAAAGCCTTCTTCTGTTCGTCAAGGGCAGTGGCTGCGGCCTTGAGTTCGGACTCAAGCTTGTCGTGGCTGGATTGTAGGGTTGTGAATTTGTCCTCGGATCCGGTCAGAGCCTGCTTGCCCTCGTCGGCAGCGCTGGAAGCGGCAGCCAGCTCTTCCTCAAGTGTACTGTGGGCCTTGGTAAGAGCCTGGTGCTTCTGCTCAGCCTCGGAAATCTGGTCCTTGAGGGTGGCAATCTCCTTTGTCAGAGCAGCCTCAAGGGCCTCGCGGGCCTCCTTGGCCTCGGCAAGCTCAGACTTGAGGGTGGCGAGTTCGTCGGCAATGGATTGCCTCTCCTGCTCGAGCCCCTTGAGCTTCTCCTCAGTAGCAGTAAGAGATGCCTTGGCATCCTCGAGCTCCTGGGCGTTCTTCTCAGCGGACTCCTTGGTAGAGCGGAGCTCCTCAGAGTTCGAGTCACCTCCCTTCTTCAACTCATCCTGGAGGATGGCAATACGGGCATGGGTCTCGTCGAGAGCGAGAGAGGACTGGGCCTCGAGCTCCTTGATCTTTTCCCTCAAGTCCTCAGCATCCTTGGAAACTGTTGTGCACTCCTTCTCTTTCTTGGAAAGGTCTTCCTCGAGGACCGCGATGGTTTCTTCTCTGTCGGCAAGTTGCTTCTCGAGAGCTTGTCGCGCGGCGATGGGGTCTTCACCGCTAGTACTAGAGAATGCAGAGACAACGCCGCCCATATCGAATCAGTAATGGGGTATGTGGGGTGTTTGGGAAGGGAATTGAGAAGAGAGGGGAGAAGAGAGAGAAAAGGAAAGTAGTCGGGTAGTTTGAGGGAATCTCAAGACTTTTTTTAGAAGAAAAAAAAAAGAGACAAGAGGTTGGGTCCAGGTTGCAGATGTCGTTGTTCAAGTATGAAATGGATCGAGCTTGGAGGAGCAGGTAAGAGTAGGAGCAGGAGGAGCAGGTGCAGGAAGCATGTGCAGTAGTGGCAGCGGCTACGGAGACGAATGATGGAGACAAAAAAAAATCGTATCAGGCCCCAGACCCACGGGATAGTCCATACCTACCAAAATCAGAACTCGACCCAATCTAACCAACCAACCTTTTCAGCAGACAAGGCTCTGATGGGATGGTCTAGTAAGTAAATTTCTTTCCCCGTCCCTCCCGTTCGTTCTTCAGGTCGTCACTACGGTGACAAAATGAATGGCTGGGCCGTGCTGTATCATGGTCACTGAACATTCACAGAGGATAACTGTACATCCTGACTACGTATCTACCTACTATCTAGACTAGATTAGTAGTTACCTAGGTACTGTTTGTACCCAGGCATGCCAAGGTAGACTACAATTGACGGCCTTACCGCACTTTAGCATGGGATCTTTCGGGTCTGAATTGTTTGTTGTCGTCCAATATCAAAGCAGCTTTTTGTCGTTTGGTGGGGTGGTTTGTGAACGACATATCATCCCGGTCTAGTTCAGTCAGTACCCGTACAAAGCCCAAGATTTCCAACGACATCTCTCTCAAAGTGGTCATGGTGGGTGGACTTGGACGCGCTCATGATGTGGCATGCTTTACCGCCTATCATTTGCATAACAAATGTCGCATTACTTTCTTTTGTCTTGCTGGCAACTCTGCCTACTGCAGCGTAGCGTACCTGAGTTCCCTGTTCGGTCAGATGTCTGTCTAGGTACTGACTCTTTTTTTTTTGAAGCCCAATTCTTTTCCCCCTCCATCCCCCTCCTCTCCCCTCATCTCTTCCCATGTCAAAACAAAGACCCAACCCCTCATGAGCAACTAATATGGATGGTCCGTCCTCAACATGGTCATGGTTATGGTCCCGCCCAATCTACCACCTAATCCATAACAATTGCGCTATCTAGACTACCACCCGACTCATGTGGCCCGACCTCTTTCTTTCATGCATCACATTGCACGGATGTTTATTGTTTGCTTCCAGATGCTGTACTGCTGTCGTCATTATCACTTGCATTTACCAAGACCCTGCCTGCTGTCTTGTCACATGCCTGCACGCCATTCTTGTAGATGCGACTGAAACAAAATCGGAAAACTGATTTTTTTTAATGAGACAAAAGGTTAAACGGCTTTGCTGAAACACAACCTGCAGGTTGCTTCGCTGTTCATGCATATGGGATATATATAACGTGTCTCATGCTTGCTCTTGTAGATTTCTGACTCACTTTTTACCCTCTTCACCGTTCCAATCCAGTGCAGGCTATCCCATCCCTTTCCCTGATCTTAGTGCTGGGTGTAAGTCCATCAGCTTGACCGTTAAGTAGCACGAGTTTATGCAAATCAAGCTGGGACCTCCGTTGCTTTTTTCTCCGCCAGAAACCCCGTTCGTTATCTTTCACGGAACCGTCGTCCAATGTCCCAGGTCAAAAAACTTATATAGTATAATCAAATAATGTCATTGTCGTCATGAGAGGGGAGTTGTGAGTTGTGGTCTCGTGGGTGTTTCGTCGGAGAGCTTTTGTCCCGCCCACCAAATAACAGTGCTTATTGTTGCTGGAACGTCCAGAATCAAGGCTGTTAATGCTTTCCATTTTCAGGAAAACCCAACATATTCCCCCTTGTTTCGGAGGACCAGCAACCCCCGTTTCTGGAGGTGTACGCGTGGGAAACTGGCGATCGATGTTTTTCAGCATCTTCATAACCAAGCCTTCAGGAGTCCGATGCTGCTCATCTAAAGGTAGCTCGGAACGGACCCTCGACTTTGATATCCTTGATACCCTCAGGCATCAGACGCAACCACTCGTTCCAACTTTCGATGTCCACGTTGTCATCATCTAGTCGAATTGATAGATGTAGCTGCGGGCTGTTCTCGTATGACGAGAAGCTACTCCGCATATGATTGTTTTCGTATACAGGCGAGAGAAAGATGGAAGGGAGCCTTGAGTTGCCAGACATCATCATATGCAGCGGCGACGGGAAGCTGGTTAGAACTTCCTTTTCTGGATGCTTGTCCTGTACCATCTTGGAGTAGTGGGAGAAAAGATTCGCATGTAGCTCCGCCGCTGACAGAGGACTCAAGCGTGCCGCTCTGATCCTTAATTGTTCAGCTAATGCGCGTGTAAATGCGCACCGATCGATATCGTAGAAATGCTCTTCCGATACTGATGCCGCAAGAAGCTCCAAAACACCCTGTTGGCGAATCATCCTAGTTGACGGGTAATATGCCGCATCCATAATGATCAGTGTATCTGCACATGCTTCCTCCAATGTTTGTTGGATACCACCCCATCGGATTGTCGAGGCTTGTTCTGGATCCCGAGAGCTGCCATAGTCAGTAACGATTTTTTTGTTGTGGAAACAGGGACAGGCATTTACCTAGCCAAAACCATCTCACGGTTGCTATCGAGATATGTGTGTCCCGCATAATACACTATTTTCAACACATCACGCTCGTCACGATCCTCAACAAACTCGTTCAATTGCCTCGAGAGCCACCGCCATGAGCTTTTGCATCCTTCAGACGATGATGGGATGGCTTGAACCTGAAAATTGTAGCGATAGTACTTATCAAACACCTCGGCAAGTTCTCGAACAGCGGACTGGATCGTGGGAACATCTTCATCGTCTTGCCAGAACAGGAACATAACCTGTACAGAGGTGTATCGGTCTCGGCTAGGTGTTGAAAGCATACGTCCTACATTGGTTTGGAGATCGTTCTTGAAACTCTCAATGCCGGGCAATGACAATGACTTTTCGAGGCGGGGGCCCGAAGGTAGAGGGGTTCGGATTCGAGCGTCGCTTAGTGGAGGTCGACCTGGCTGATTGGAACCAGAAGTGCTGGAATCAATATCCATCTCCTGTGTGTCGTGTGTGAACAAGGCCTGGACATTGGTAATAGCAGCGGGGCTCAATGGCCGACCAGCCGCAGCGAGCGAAGGTGCAATATCCTGGATAGTTGGGCTGTGCGATCGGTGAAATTTGGAAACGACATCCTCCCAGGTCATGTTGTGATGACTGGGGTGGCACTGCAGTAGTAAAACGTTGGTACGAGTTCATTTGCGAGAACTTGGCGGTGATAATAACAACTTACAGCAACTCTTCGCCTCCTGCAATCAATGCATGCGCCGAGCTTTCGAATGAGTGCAGCGCGCTCTCTGGACTGTTGAGAAAGGGGTCCGGTCCGTCTCCTGCTCGTGCGGCGGCTGTTAGAGACGTCGGAACCATCCTTTATAGAGAAGATAGACTGGTGCAAGTTAGGAGAGGTATCGGCACTGTACGATGTGTTATTGGTCTCTGTAGAGGCCAAGGTGGCGGTCGTCGCCTGAGTAGAGATGGAAGAGCATGTGTCTTTTCTAAGAGGCGGCGTAACGGGATGAAGGTGGTGGTGAGTGTGATGGTGGTGATGCTGCTGCTGTTGATGCTGCTCAAATGTGTAATGCGCCGGCGAAGTGGGTGACGGCTGACGGAGGGGGGGAAGCTCGTCTGGATTCTGTGGGAGTGAGTGAGCGGAAACTGATGCGACTGCGGTTGCAGCTGCAAGAACCGCAGGCAGCGATGCAGATTGAGCAGAGGGCGATGAAATTGAGGGCAAAGAAGGGGTCGGGGCGGTTTCGGATACGGAGGTCGGTTGCGAAGGTGACGGTGACGGCGGCGGATGTGGTAGTTGGTGTTGGTGTTGGTGTTGGTTGATGGACGCAGTCGTGGGAGTTGGAGAAGCCTCAGCCATACTGTAAGAGACAGAGTTCATGTTGATAAATCGAGAAATGTAATCGGCGCTGGGAACAATCAAACACCCATTATCTCAAATCAGAAGGAAGGAAGTTTCGAAGGCAACACGATTTGCAGGTGTTGGAATAGGTTGCCAATCATCCAACAGCTTAAAGTACGCGACGTGATAGGCTGTCTTTATCAATCTGCCATGCGCAAGTATATTAATTGTGTAGGCGCAAATCCAAGTAGATAGCACAGAGAGGCTGCAAGAGCGATGGGTTTATTGATGTGTTGCGCGCGTGAGTGGTATTTTAACCTTCCCACGACGTTCTTAGACACAAAGTATAAGAGTAGGTTGTGGGTAGAGCAAAATAATACTGTAACTTTTTGGCGTGCTCTGGGCCAGCCTTGGGGGTTTCCGAGGAGGATTCGAAGTATATAAGCTGTGTGCCGAGAATGTGGTGAGGGACAGGCTACCGGCAAGGGGTTTCTTAGTGGGTATCGTTTTTGAGTTGACAGGGCAGAATAATACACCCTGGGGCGAGTTGAGGGAACCTGGGAAAAGTGTAGGACAATCCTTAGGAGTAACAAATAATTCAATTGATTGCAGCCGGGTCCAAAGAGGCAACTGAGCAGTAGGTAGGTTATGGGGATGTGGAACGGAAATAGCAATGATTCGGCGAAATTAAAGCCGGCAACAGCTTAACAGTTGGACCTTGAATCAAACGGACAATTAAGCGGCATTGGGGGTGGATGCGCAGCGCAAAATATGTAGTTGAATAGTACTGGCGAAGGGCAGTTTCATTCACTGCGACTCAAGAGACGCGCAGTTAATTTCCAGCTTGTGGTAGTTGAAGAAGGGTCTGATCGGATCAAGGCTCGAGAGGGCGAGACGGGAGTCGTATATACGAAGAGCCGGCCTATGATGTAGGCACGTACCATGTAAAACGGGTCGTAACTCTTGATGAGATCGTCAAGGTGAGTAGAAGCGTAATGGTGAGATGATGAGAGCGGATCAGGGTTCGTCAATAAGAGAAAAATAATTAGGCAAGAGAAAGAATAAGAGCAAGAAAAGAAAGCTCGAGTTTATGCTGTGGAAAGAGACCGAGGGTGTTCCGTCTTCACCAAGACCAACCTGAGGTGAATGGAGTGGCGTGGAGAGACAGAAAGAATCGGACAAGAAGGGCGTGGGCAAAAGACGTCGCGAGTTTTGCAGCCAACCAGAGCCTCGCTCGGGGTCTCACAGCGTGAAAATGGAGCCTAGGGAGGGGTGTGGGCGGGAGCAATCCCTGGGGCTCCTCAGGTCCTCCACGGCGGAGAGGAACGCTGTTGGTGAAGATGCCCGCCAGAGGGGAAGTGGATTTCCCCGGTTGGTAGGTTAGGTACTAACCTACTGCTGTACATGCAAGTAGCTTTCTGTGGGATCGCCTAGAAATTGTACCTGAGTCCAGTATCAGGGACCGGCCCGGGAACACATTCGAGGGACCTAGAATGGGGTGAAATGGCACGAGATTACTGTATGATGCAGTAGTCATTGGGAAGTTTTGAATGTCTTGAGCTGGGGTCAAGATCAGTCGAGGTTGACAACAATCGGCGATATCAAACATGGACAGCGAACATGGAGCTGTTGAGGTCTGCTCCATAGAGCCGTCTTAGTAAGAGGAAGCTCTACAAAGTTGTTGAGGGTCATTGAATATGAGTCTCAGATAAAGTGGTTTGTCTTGGTTAGAGGCTTTGAAGTGTCCAACCACATTCTTGAGAGTACCTTTTGATAAACGAGCTGTCGTGGGATGAAGTTCATGGAACAAGACAGGTGAGACAGAATAGGTTAGGATCAATAAAACCTGGCCAAGATGGACCATACCTTTGCACACACTCCCGTCGGTTCGGGTGCCCCCCAAACCACAGTACCTATCTCTAGTATTACCGCCGGCGTGTTATAGCAGAAGAAACCCCAGTTTGTAACCAATTGTCAGGACCTAGAATGGTCTAATTAATCAAATCTGCATCCCGCTAGTCGGGTCAAGGTCAAGGTGACACCAAAATGGAACGTTAGATGCCCGGTTAATGATGCGCGGCTCCGGCGGCAACAGCTGGCTCAGGTTGCTTCTGCTGCCGTTCTAATTTCTAAATGACAAACTGACAGGGACTTTCCTCGGCATTGCTGTCTTTTTTATAGAAGGTTTCACTCTCCACTTCGAATTTTAACCTTCTTACAAGCGACTGGATATCCCTCTTTCTGAAGCAACCCATTTCTCCTCGTTTCGTTGTATACAAGGTATGTTGTTCAACCACATATCGTCCATTGGTATTGAGGTTAAACAACATGCCGAACGACAACGATAACAGTGCTCTCGGTATGTTTCAGCCCTTATTAGAGATCACCTTCTTAAATTTCGAACCCTCATGCTCATCTTGATCCAGCCCTGACTACACCTGACAAGATGTTGCCCACTAGTTACGCCTCTCAATTGCACTTCCGAGTCCGCAAACAAAAAGCAAATAAAAAAATGAAAGGAAAAACTTGAACAATGGAACTTACCGGAGTGGATAATCTGCAGATTCGTACTGCAATATATGTGTGAAATTCGTACACAGTCGCCTGCTCCCATCAACCTGTCTCAACCGCTTAGATACCGCTTAGTCCATATTTGTACCACATGTGTGTACAACCAAGACTACGGGCTGATGGATGTCTAAACCTTGTTCGCCGCATGGCATGTTCGCGGTCCATAGTACCCTGCGAAAAGATCCGTGCAAGGGCCCGTCTGATATGCTGCTACTTTGGTGTTTGACCGGAAGTGCAACACCGAGTGCAGACGGTACAGTTCGAATGTCACAGGCTTACACCAGCAGCCTGGGCTTCCTCTCTTGGGTCCAGGCTGTCATTCACAACATTGGTTGTTGCCTCGACCAGGTCAGTCTGGCCAGCAGTACCTTGTCAATACATAGAGGTTTCATGGAGCCTTCTTTTCTCACTTGGGCGGAAAGTCGCAATGATTTAGGATCAACCGGCATGGCCCATTCGGCGAGCACTCAGCAAAGACAACGATTTGAGTGGCATAAAAGCTGCGCTCGTGTTAACACTTACACTAGAGACCAGCTCGACGTACACTACTGTCACTGTCCTATGGCGCCACTGAGTTTGGTTTCTTCATTTATCACGTACGCCCAAGATTGACAATGAGCTTCCTATGCCGTTATAGGCGCGCCTGAGCAGCGCTTGACATCCCGAGAAGAAATGAAAACTACCCCAAGTCGAACCGTAACAAGCATTGCCGTACATTCCCCGCCCTGCCGCCAAACTCCACCACGGCTCGGTGAGAAGGACATACGGTCACGTAGCCACAAATTTGTTCGGCTCTGACCTCGGGAAGAGAAGAAGATTACACACTCACTTGGGGACGTACTATTTCATTCATGGTGGCTGACCAGCGGCAACGCTGTTTCCAACATCTGTGGATAATGCACAACAGAGCTGTTGCGTATCTTGAATCCAGAACAGAAAACGCGTTATATTCTAAATCGCCCTATTTTTTTGTTTTTGTTTTTGTTTCCCCCCTCAATGTACTGCCTGGTTACACCAGACCAGGGTGGCTAAATTCCGCTCACAAAGCCTTTGGCTTCATAAGGCATGCCGTATCAATCAGCTCACCTTGTCTTCGTCACCCCAGATTTTACAAAGGGAAAAAAAGCATGGGCAGCTAGGGACCTACATGCCAAGCGACCCATCGTTACCTATGCTCAGGGATTCTCACTGGTTAAAGTCGGGGTTCGGCTCTCCACTCCGTTTGTCTTTTCTTCTTCGTTCTTCCGTGTGAGCGATCTGGTGGCAGGCACGCAGGTAAGAACGGATTCACCGAGGTTAAGGACACCAACGATCAAGGACCGAGTATCCGTAGCTCTCGACATGATGAATATGCACACACACAATATCGCGAGCTTCAACACTGCATCTCCTGACTGTCGCGTATGTCACGACTGGCTCCTAGTTGTAATATATCATCTTAGATGTCTGAAAGTACTAAACCACAAAACCCATACATGAGGCCACTTTCATGCCATTGAATCCTCTGGTACTTCAGCATTTCTGCAATGCAATGCAATGCCACATAAAACTTTTAGCTGGAGGAGGGTGTCAATGGTACGGATACGCACCAAATTTTCCTTTGCCCCATTCGAGCCTGGTGCCGGGTCTTCACCGAGATCCTCTCGTGAGACATCACCAGATCTGATCCACTCTTCGGTTCTCTCTTGTTGGTCCAAGCTCAACGACATGTACATCTCATTAAACAATCGAGCCGACGTAACTCTCAGTTCAGTACGTATCAACGTCGGCCAATCGGTATCCTAATCCCCACCGATGAAGTTGGACTTTTCACCGACACAATGCGTCTTCAGCCGACAAAGTAAGACGAGACTAGCTCACCGGGCCTGCTCTGTTGTTTCCTCGCTTTATAATTCAAGATATATCCAAATCAACCGGAAGAGTGCATATTACCTGAGAGATAGAAATGCATGCCCGTGCCCGACCTCTCTTACCATGAATCGATTTGTTGGTTCTTGAATCCGGACTCATCTCCGCCGTCGGCTTCCGATGTTCAAGAGACACTTGCCGGACTGGGGCCAAGACTCATACGGGATTGGGCTACTTCTTGGTTGGTCGGGCTATCACGGACCGAGTCGACCGTCTCGGTGCCGTTTTGTGGAGTGACCATGTTGGGATTATTGCGATGTATTTGTTTTGATAGATTACAGCACTTGTATCTCAGTTAACCGATCCCAGCACATGCAGAGATGTCAGAATTTTGCCTACAATCGAACCAGTCATTTGAGCCGGAATACATGCACTATATAGGTAGCTAGGCAACCTGGCATGGACACGGAGACGTATAAGTCGATCGGCTTATTTATAATATGCCGCTCATGTGATTTTCACCACTCTTACTTTAACGAGTCTGCTGGGTTTTCTGCAAAACCAGTGAACTATGGTTTACATGAAATTGGAAAAGATAATCAACTAATCAGTCAATGGTTATGTATACCTAAAACAGACAGAACTCAGCTGGTGTTTATCATATCCATCGACTAATAGGACAGAACAACAAAACTGAAAGAGATAGAAATATATAACAATGAAACCCATACATAAAATTGAATAATTACAGTTGCCAGTTCTGGTCTTTTGTCCAAGGCGAGCTTTGAAACTCGCCCTTGTCATCTTTGATTGTCCCAATATCATCACGCTTGTCATCAACCAATCTCGCCCATTCGAGCATCAACCTGAAGAGATACACTTCCCTGTCCTTCTCGCCCAGGGCTTCCTCCGCCCATTTGGCACCTTGCTGAGCGATCCACGCTGCATCCTTTGTCTGCCCTTTCATGTCGGTGTCGCGCCCGTTGATGTACGCTTTCTTGTGCGTGCCGGTAAAGTACGTCAAAGTGGTGTGTAGACCCTGATAACGCGTGTCAATGGGCACAAAGTGTAGCCACGGGATCAGACGATCGCTATACCACGTCCGGAAGAGGGTGGAGATGAGAGGTACACTCTTTGAGCGGAGCACGCGAAGGAGGTCTGGTGAGGGTTTATCATCTTGATCTAAGAGAAGAACGTAACGGTATTCAAGGGGCTCTTGATCTTTGGATTCCTCAATAATGGGGTACGTTTCGCGAAGAATTTCGCAATTGGGACCTTTGCAGCCTGTGTAGTCGTTCATGCCGATGCTTGTAGGCGCGACGAGATTCGCTTCTGCAATAGGGACTTTCTCATGCTGGTATATAGACGGGTCCTTTGCCGATGGGAGAATCATCGAGACTTTGTCTTCTGGGTTCCTGTTACCCATCATGTGAAGAAGTCGAAACTTATGACTGCCTCGCAAAGCTTGGTTCGAAATGTATCCATCACCGGTTTGACCTCGCCAGAACATAGAATCGTACCGGCGATCGAAGTTCCAGCTGATGTCAGCTTTGTCGTCCTCGGGCTGCGGTAGGGGAATTATGATGTCCTGGAATGGCTCTGACTTGTATGGTCCAAAGAGGGGCAGTAGGTCCCTAATGGGCTCTGCGTGAGGGTTTGAGAGGGACATCCCATGAAGATATTTGAGATCAGGCTGAGAACAGTACTCTAGGGACCTCTCCCAATTGACCATTACCTGCGCCTTCGAGTGTCGTCGCACGCAGTCGGCGCAAAATTCGCCGATATTCCAGTGAGGGTTGGTTCGGGTTCTTGAGCCTGGAGGGCATCCTTCGACTTGCATCTGGCGATAGTCGGCTGGAGATACCATGGACTGCTGATCCATCTGAGGAGACTTGGGCAATGCGGGCAATGGCTTGGGGAAGGGGGTCTCCGCAGGTTTCGCTCCTTCACCGTCATCAGGACCATTTCGTTCAACTGACCTCTTTGAAATGAGGTTGACTATAGGAGTCAAATCCGCCCTGCTCTGTCCATTGGCGGTCTCCCATGATGGGAGAACTCTTGGAGAAGGGCTCAGGTTGACGGGGAAGAGCATGTCAGGCAGGAATTTTGAAAACTTGTTCATGGAAGCCACCAAGCTATCTAGCAACTCTGCATCATGTCCACTGATTTCAGGGAGTCTTGATGCGTTGCCGTTTTTAATTCCAATAACATGAACACCAGGCATCTGAGATACCAAGGAGGTGCGTTGCCGGAGCTTTCGTGGAGTGATAGCTTTGAATGGAGCCAAGTCTCGGTCAATCTGATCGAACCGATCAATCACGGCAGTATTCTTGGCAAGCTCATACCAGTCCGCGAAGGCCGGAGGGGGGTCACGGTCATTGTGACGCTCCTTATAGATCTTGTGGGCGATTGGAAGACTTTTACTTGTTGTTGCCTCCTGCATCCAACGACCCTGTCTGATGTTGGCCCTGTAGATGAAGTCATTGATAGGGTGGCGCACAAATGTCTGTGGTTTTGTTTTGACAATAAACACGGTAGTTCCCATGGCAAGACCAACTAGAAGAGCCAGGAGGAAGAAGCGTCGAATGAACACGACAGAGCGCATACCATGAGTGTAGGTGAATGCGATCATTCCAAACGCAATCATGTAAAGTGGCATGATCTCGGGAAGCCGCTTAGGATGAAGGTAGTCTCCATACTGGAATATGTTCTGGCAGGCCTTCGCCGTTCCCATAAGAAACGTGATAATACTAGCTGGCGTGAGCGGCGATGTTTCGCATGCCCAGAAAGTGGCCGATATCATGAGAGCCGCGAATGCGACACTATCAACAATGATATCAAACCCATACAAGAAGCCAAATCCAGCATGTAACACGGATGAGCCCCTGAAGATTCGGCTCCCAACCCACACAAGACCCATCGACAGCGACGAGAGTGTTAAAACTGTCCCCAGAGTTCGCAAACGAAGCTTAGCGGTTCGGGACCAAGCCAACAGGCGCCAGAGGAGGAGGAGGACGATGACATCGAGCATAAGTCCCATACACTGCAGAGCAAGGGTCATTCGCCTACTCTCAACCATGTCGAAACAGTAATACGTAGAACGTGTGATCTGGCTGATAGCATGGTAGGTGCCTGTAGAGAAAACTAGGATGCTGAAAACTGCCACAGTGAGTATAACTCTGGGGCCGCTGAACCAGTCGATCAAGTCATCAAAGCATGAGCGCCAAGGATCATCTGGATCTTCTGGGGGTGGAAATCCCCATTTCTTTCGAGAAGTAAAGATTTCATAGGCGAAGAGAAGGACGCAGAGGAATGACTGAATAGTTGTTAGGCTCCAGAGATTTGTGTATCAGCATAGCTTGGACTTACCTCGAGGCCGGGAGTCGCGCATTGCTGCTGATAGTTTACACGGTGAAAGATTTCGAGCCTCAGAACAATGCACAGTATAAGTACGGGAAGTGACAGCCTTCGTGGCCGTCCTGGTAGATGGGAATTTTCATTTTTGGATGCAGCATCAGGTACACCATCGAGCAATGAGCCTTGACGACGGTGCGATGTGAAACGACCATCTGCGCCAGGAAACCACTTGGTAATGCAACTGACCCCATAGCAAACTAAGCCAGAAAGAAGAAATACAAGAAATGACGAAAGTCTCGGGCTCTCTAAGTAATCTTATTTAGTTTCTGGTCATACAGGTACCTAGATAGTTAAAAGACAGAAAGCTGAGACTAACCAGTTAGAGAATGACGTTCGAAAGTTTGAGATATGTAAAAGAATGAAGATACAGCACTACCAATCAGATTAGTATTAGCATTATCTGATGAATAAGGGATGGGAAAGTATACCATATCGCAAATAACTGCACCACCGTATCGCCAGCCATGATGATGATGGTGGCTTTCAAAACCAAGACAGACTTAAACAATAGATATGAAAGCTCAAGTACGCCTTCAAATTACTCATGCCGTCGCAATCATATAAGCGCTGTATGAAGTTGAGAACAAGCCTTCAAATTGATATACACATCAATGAACTGTTCATGACATCGTCGTCTTTGTTAAAGTCGTGATAAAGAAAAAGAAGCTTAAAGTTGAACTGAAAACCCCCCTGGTCAATTTTGACTGATATCAAAGGGATAGGCTGACGACTCTTTTCTTCCACCCCTGGCAATTACCTAAGCTGACGTTTATTCGCTGGCTGTTTTACTTACAGCGCCTCCAAGACTTAAACGGTCCACTATCCCCTAGGGGTCCCCTCCCTATCTCGATAACAATCAAGCTTAGTACCTACAGGTTAAATTTAGCTTTCTTGTGATGTAACTTCTTGGACGCCTCATTGCCTATACTATGGCCGGCCTCAACGACGTGCCCTTCATCAAGGGCCTCGCCGTGCCTTCTGTCTGCGCCCTCATCATATTTCTCGGCTACGTCTCCCAGTTTCTGTTCCATTACTCGACCACCCTCGAACCCGGTCCTCCCTCTCGTCGCGAAACCATCACCTTCAACAGTCTCCTCCTTATCCTTTGGATAACGTACTATCGCGCCGTTACCACCGATCCGGGCCGTTATATCTTCAAAGACCGTGTTATTGAGGCTGATGGTCAACGATGGTGCAACAAATGTGCGGCTCCCAAGCCTGCTAGGGCGCATCATTGCCGTCACTGTGCAAGATGTGTGCCCAGAATGGATCATCACTGTCCCTGGACGAGGAATTGCGTCTCCATGACCACGTTTCCCCATTTCCTACGCTTTTTGATCTACACCAACATGTCGCTGTGGATGCTGGGCTATTTCCTGTGGCAGCGCTTCTCCCAGATTTGGGAACACCGTCATCTGCCTGCATACTTGGGCCCTAGTTTCTACGGACTAATTTGCATGTCTCTTATTGCCATCGTCAACTTTGTCACCACCGTTGCGTTAGGAATCATGCTCATTAACACTGTTAAGTCATGGATTTTCAACCAGACTATGATCGAAGGATGGGAACAAGAGCGCCATGAAGCTTTGATGGACAAAGGTCCCAAGGAGTGGTGGGATATAATGGGACCTGACGGCGAAAAGGTCCGTTTCGAGAAACTCGAGTTTCCATACGACATCGGCTTCTTTTCCAACATGTCACAGGCGATGGGGTCCCGCAATATCCTTTGGTGGTTCTTCCCTCTTGCGGGAAGCCCCAAAATCTCCAAGGATGGCACCGGTCAAGGCTGGGCATGGGAAGAGAACGGCTTCAACCGCGTTGAAGGTCTCTGGCCACCACCGGACCCGGACAAACTTCGTCGAGCCGCACGAGGCTGGCCAGCTGGAAATCGCGACTATGCCGAAGAATTGCGCCAAGCAAACATGAGCTCCAGCGAGTACAAGGCCGGGTTTCTCAAGCGCCAGGCCGATGATGAGAGGCGCAAGAAGCAGCTCATGGCGGAGCTGGAAGAGGTTGACGATTTCGACATGTATGACGATGAAGAGTATGATCGCGAGCTCGACCAAGGCCTTGGATGGGTCAATGCGGATGGTGATCGACTACGAGATTACGGTGTTGATGAGGAAGAGTCAGAGGTTGGAGAAGCTGATGATGACGATGTGCCACTAGCAGAGCTGATACGGAGAAGAAAAGTGTTGAAAAAGGACGGCTCAGACGATTGAGATGCCACAGCAATAGCACATAAAAACCTTGAATCAAAAAAGCATTTATTCCTTCTAAGAATTTGTAATGTCCTGGTTATGTATATGAATGTCCCCGTCCTGCAGTCATTCAGAACGACGCTTTTGCATACGCTTGCCCCAAAGCATCAAGAATAAAAACCAAACTCGGCCATGAATTCCTTGCGGCTTCTACACCTCGGTTGCCCAATTCAGTCTTGTTTGTATACAACAGAAAAAAGCAACATGCCATGTCTCCTCTTCCGCCTCGCTCTAGCGCGCTGTGTGTATATGTATATCGTGCGTGCAGGTGCAGACAATTTTCCTGTGCCCTACACCATCAAGTTTCTTGTTTTTCGACTCCTTGTTAACATCGTGAAGCATAAACTCGTTATGTCGGCTACCAGTCGTCGTCGTCTTCCTTCTCCTTTTGCATAGCGTTCTTCCTGGCTAGCAGAGCGTCGGCCAAGCTACCACCTAAACTAGGTGTAGGGGTGCTACTGCGGCTATCGGATCCATTGGGCGTGTTAAGACTCATGCCAGAATCACGCTGCTGGAGCTCAGCCGGCTTGCGGCCAGCAGCAGGGCGCTTGGCCGGGGGCGCAGGTGGTGTTGGCTTGGATCGTGGAGGAGCGGGAGGGGCTCGGGGTGCTGGGGGAGCCATTTCCTCAACATATGCAGCAGGAACCCAAGCCTGCTGTGCGGTCTGGGGATTCTTGGCTAACCACCATCCTAGAAACGTGTCAGTTGAGCTATATATCTGATTAAAAATTGACTGTACTCACCATTGCTCTCCTTCTGCACAATCTCGACTATCTGACCCGCGGCGATCGAGAGCTCATTCTCTCGTTGACCAGCAAAGTCGTACAGGACCTTGGCCATCACCTTAGGTGGACTTGGTGGTCGTGCTGGGGCAGCAGGAGGCGGGGGTGGAGGTGGTGCTCGTCCAGCAGCGCTGGCCGCTTTGGCATGGCTTGGGAGAGGGTTGTGTGCAGCTGGAGTTGGAGCTGGAGCTGGAGCTGGAATAGAGGCAGCGGCAGAAACAGCAGCTGGTGGCTGAGGAACAGCCCGCGCGCCTCCTCCTGGACGGGGCTTGGCGGCTCGGTTGCCCTGAATGCGAGATGGTCTACCATTCGGACCTCCGGGTTTGATAAGCTTACCGCGAGTAATGGGACGAGGAGGCACAGGCTTGCCCTTGGGCGTGGGCTTGGAGACCGAGCTTGGTGGCTCGCCAGGCTGAGTGTGCACAGCACCACTCTTGTAGTAATCGGCTGGGACTTGTGAGTCCTTCAGCACCTTGACTTGCTGCAGCTTGCCAGGCTTCTTGGCGTACTCAATCGTCTCGGCGATTTTGAGGTTGAAGCCGCCTGGCATCACTCGCTGCATCTGAGTGAACATCTCGGTCTTGAAGATGCAGTTCATCAGAGGGTCAGCCTCTTGCGGTGATCCTATACCCAGAGAGAACCAGTCATCGCGAGCTGATGAGACACCAATAAACTTGATGGCTCCCAGAGGAACTGATTTCTCCACAGTGATTTGCGGCTGACCATTGACAAGCATCTGGGCAATGATATAGAATTTGCTGTTAGATATAACGATAATGCGAGGGCTGGCTTTACTGGAACGACCAAACTTCGCCTCCAAAATCTCACCACGGCATGAAAATACCGCCTTCTCGTTGGAGCCAATGCCAGCGGCACTACGGATCTGAGCGCCAGGGCCGGTGCTTGCGTTGACGCCCATGTAATCACCTAGGAAACGTCGAGAGCCCAGCAGACTCATACGGCGCCTTTCCTTGCGGCCTCCAAGTACCTGATGGCCATGGTCACGGAGCTGGAGATATTCAGCTCCAGTTCGCTTCTTACGCCAGAGTCGCTGAATTCGCGTAGCAGATTCGGCTCGGTAGGCGAGATAAGCCCTCCACATTCGCTGGATTCGAGTAGCCATGTTGTGCCAGTACCTGTCTCGCATATGTTCTAGAGCAAACAACGTCTCGGGAGCCTTAATAAACGCCTTTGTAACACCCATCTGCCATTCTTCCTTGGGAATGCTTGTGTCCTTAAGGATTTGCTTCACGGCAGCCTCTGTAGTACCTTCCCAGGTAAATTCACCAGCATAAGAAGTAGCAGGTGATAGAAGGAAGAACCTGTCGACAAACTTGTCGAAGTCCTGACGGTATGCGAAACCAGCTCGTCTGATACGAACGTTTTCTTGAAGACCAAGGTACTTGATCTGATGGAGAACGTTGGGGCCGTTGTATTCTGTTGGCGACTTGTTCTCGTTTGGTTTGATGGTACGGATGTAAGAAGGCTGGCATTTCATCAGAGTATCGACAAGAGCATTAGCGGACGCTCGGATACGGTCACCTGCAGAGGGAGGCTGCTTTCGGTTATCTGTGTCAACGGGACGAGGGAACAGGGTGTGAACGAATTCGTTTCCACTGTGTTGGAAGAGGGCCAACAGACCCTTCAGAAGCTGATCCTTGTTCTTATCCGTGATACCTTCAACAGTGTATGTGACATCACCGGCGTAATGCTTGATAATGAAGTTTCCTTGTCGTGGGGTAAGATGAGCGTGCGACATGCCATTGATACTCTGCATGAAGGTACGATCGCAGGCAGCAGGATCAGCGTGCGCAGTCTTGGTGGCATCCTTCATGGCGGAGAAGATACCGACAGGTCGAATCTGCTCAATGAGATCACAAACAACCTTGTTGTCGAAATACTTGATAGGGGTCCATTGAATCTGTTCCCTGGCGTACTCCTCCTGCTCGGCCTTGAGAGTTAGCTGGATGAAGATTTGCTGCAACTTCTCGTTGACGTAGTTGATGCATAGCTGTTCGAAACTATTTTTCTCGAAGATCTCAAATCCATAGATATCTAGAATACCAATGGTGTTGGTGGTTGGTTGCCGAGCCTTGAGAGACTTATTGATGCGTTCGACGATCCAGTCGAAGAGGTTGCTGTAGATGGCCTTTGCCAGGGCGTCTCGAGTAGCCTGCGCTTGGGCGGGGTTGGCAGGGGACTCGATAACCTCACCGTTTCGAGGTGTCAAAATTCGGATTGTGATGCCCTTGATAAGCTGATCGGGAGTGACCTCCATCAGATAAGCGGCGAAATCAACAACAGATCTATCTGTGACTTCAGCGTAACCGCTCTGGTCCTCTTGGAACTGAATGTTTCCAATCCACAGGATAGCTGACAGCATTCGGAAGATCTGATCTTGCTCAGGCTGGGAAAGGCCAATAACCTTCATTGCATTGAGCGTATCTTCGTACTCAGCAAGGTCGTCGATGCCATCGACGTCCAAGCATTTTGACCTACTGGTGTAGACGTAGGTCTCGGGCTTTTGAACACCAAATGTCTCCCGGTATTGTTGCGAGGCACCCTTGGCGAATTGGTAGAAGATGTGGAAGTTTCGTTCGTTTGTGATCTGGCCCACCACTCGCGTCTTTTCGAGGAGGTAGTTTGTGATGTCGGCACCCACAGGCTCACCCTGCGTGTTGAAGTAAATTTGCAGGTACTTTCCGAATCTTGACGAGTTATTGTTTCGTAGCGTTTTTGCATTTCCGAAGGATTCGAGTAGGGGGTTGGTTGCCAGCACCATGTCCTTGATCTGCTTGATATCTCCTGATTCTCCACCGGATACACTAGCAATGTACTGCATAATGCGCTTTGCCGCCTCTGTCTTGCCGGCACCGGACTCTCCTGAAATAATGACACACTGGTTGTCGCTGTACGCCTTCATGTTGTAGTATGCGGCCTCGGCAATGGCGAAAACGTGGGGAGGCATCTCTAGTCGATTCTTGCCCATATAACTCTGAAGGACTTCATCGGTGTAGATGCCCAGGTCTCGGAAAGGGTTAACAGAGACCAACACATGGCCGATGTAGGTATAAATCTCGCGCCCTTCGAATCGCTTCTTCAAATTCTCGTTGATGGCTTCGTTAGATACTTTGCTCAGCAGAGTCAGATCGGAAACACCAATCTCCTTCTTCTTGGTTGTCTCAAAGGTGGCCTTCTTGGGCTTCGCGCCTCCGCTTGCGCCGTCATCGGCTGCACCGGCGCCCTTGTTCTTCGGGCGTCTTGATATTCCCTACAAATTGAACGAGAGTTGTCAGCGAAGTATGCACCAACGTGAGAGAGTTTATACAGTACCATGGTGTGCGACTGTTGTAGAAGAGGGGGAGGGGGGAGGAAAGGTGGATAGGTAGATAGATAGGTAGCTGCTATACGTGATGTTTATTTAAACGAGCATCTAAAGGCCAAGCAAGGTCAATCAAGCTCTAACCCGTGGAAACGAATGAAGGTATTGTAGTACTTGGTTATCACGAGTCGGAGGAAGTAGAAAAAATGCGATGTTTAATCCAAAGGAAACTCTGGAAGCTTTAGTTTGGAATTTGGTGTGGTGTGGCTGGAATTGAGGTCGGTCGGTCATGCTCAGTAATGTTCTCGTGGTGCCTGACGGGAGTGAGACTGGGAGTGACGAAACGCCGACAATTTTCCGCCCGGCACAGCCCCCTGGATTACTGGCAGCCTTACGCAATAAAGTGGCGGGGAGGAAGTACTGGACCTACAAATATCTACCCGGCTACCTTGGGTATTGTTATCAATACGCGCGTCTTTAAAAAGTTTGCTTTAGGCAACGCAATTTATCATGGTTATGAACAAGAAGAGGGTTTCTTAGAGTGGGCATTTGTGCCATTTTCTCAAACTGTGTTTCTAACCCATTCTGATTTAGGTACTGTAATAGTAGGTATCCCTGTGTTAAAGACTGGCGCCTTGGTTTTTACTCGCCCAAGCCGACGATGTGTCGTCATTGTGCGTACCTAGGATAGTTGATTTATTCCAGGAATAAAACCCGTCTCAACTAGCTGTTGTTGCCTTGAGGATGGATCTAGTGATAACTTGACTCAATCTGCTTGGGTTTTAACCATTGCTGTTAATAGCAATGGGGATGGGTTTCTACCTATGTAAGAATTGGTTTCTACAGGGGGGTTGGTCTTTGATAGAGCCTGAATAACTTGCCGACAATGGTTTCATCAGCAGTATATCATGTTTGGTAAACCAAGGTCGCTGATGTGCAGAAGAACTGCTGTTTAAACTTCAAGCTTTGGCTACTAAACTTCCCTTACCCCCTATTCGTAAACACGTTGCTTCAGGTTTGTTATATAAAGTCGCTACTCTCCATATAAAGCTTGGGCCGAAGGAGGCGTGGCCTGAAGCGTGAGAAGGATCATCATGGTTTTGGAAACAACCAAACTCATGCGAACAACTTATACTGCAATCTACTATGTAATGCAATTGATTACCAGGAACCAGATAAAGTGGCCCACATTCAAACTACTCCATACCTATTAGCTATCCCCAACCCAACATCCCTCGGATCTGAGCAGCCTGAGTCTTGGCTTGCATCCCATCCGTTCCCCGCCAAACAAGCTCCAAGCCGATCTTTAACTTCATCAAGTCCTATCGTCAACCGAGTAATAACACCTCCACATCCGTTCAGGCACAACAAGTGAGCTACGTTCATCTTTTCCTACTGTAATAACAAATGATCGACCAATCCCCTGTCTTCTGACGCAGGTCAGCTTCTCGGTTGCGGGGTAGCAGCTCTCCAAGGTGGCATGGCATGCTCACGGAACAAGCCAACCAGACCAAGCCTGGGCCCGTCCAAACATGCAATGCGATGCCTGCGCATGATAAACATGGTCTTGCGCTGCCGCATCAACGGCCCATTTCATAGACCTGACCTTAGCTCCGTTTAAGTTGTTAGTCGATAGATATAAACCTAAACATCGCCGCATTCGTTCTGAGATCCCTTCCTTTCTTCACCTTCTTCCTCCATAACCTCAGACCTTGTCACAACAAAACACTTGCGTTAAATCAATCAGTTCGCATTTGCGCTTTACACCTGGACTCTTACTAAACCGTTGTACACATAAACCTCTCAAACGTCACAATGGCCGACACAACCGAGCAGCAGCAACCCAAGCTCGTTGACGACTCTCCCATCTCCCCTGTCGAACGACGAAACTCGTTGGAGGCTCATCTCAAGCACCGCCCCGAGCGCTCCGAGCTTGTCGAGAGTGAGCGACTCCCCCTCACTCCAATCATTATGTACACATTGCTTACCATCCTGCCCCCAAACAGAGAACATCCTTCCAGCCTCTACCGCAGCGCCAGGCCTCCTAGCACACCAGAAGGAGGTGAGTTTTCCCCCCATAGCTGTGGCATATAGATCCACGCTTGCTGACAAGACCTCACAGCTCGAGAAACACATGCTCGAGGACAAGCTCAACGACAAGATCTCGCACCGCCCAGACCCCGAGTCTCTCATCAAGGAGGGTGTTCTCCACGACGACCCCCGCGCCGTGACTCAGGACGAGGCTGCGAAGAAGTACGACGAGGCCATCGAAGACGAGTATGCCAAGCGTGAGGGTGGCGCCTGATCATGATGTCATGCGACAGGGCAGGGTACTTACCTGGCCCAGGGTCATGAGAGCCTCGGTACAGAAACTGTACTCATGATGCTAAATGTGGAGTTTTCTTTTTTGGAATGTGTGAAATGAATTGACTGTTGATGGCTTTGGTAAGAGGTACATGTTGGTAACAGACAACAAACAAACAGGCGCTACGAGACCTTTTATCAGGTCTTTGTATTTATGTATCGTTAAATATTGAGTTCTACTATCTATTCCTGAGTCTCGCACATAGATTGACTAACACGGAGCTTTGGGGTGTGACGATACAATTCATCAACACACGCCAGTTGGGCAGTGAGTAAGAGAATGACCCATTCATGGTGGAATCCCACTTCAGCTTTCGCAGTCTAAGCCTGTTTTTGATGGCCTCTCGCAACGTGGAGATTCTCTTCAAGCTGTGCAGTGGAGGAAACCTGCAGAAGAAGCTCTTAACGATCCCTGCGACTAGTTGGGCTGCAGGTACCGAGCGGGAGGGAACCCAAAACAAAGTCCCCCTCCAACCCGACAATACCTCTAAGAGCCAGAGAGCCCAACCCGCCACACCATCAACTTCATTTAGACCCTTATTTTTCAAGTTTCCAAAAAATCAAGGAACAAGGCACAAAGTAAATTAAGCAAGGGGAGGGGGAGATGAAACAGGTCAGAGTGGTGTGTGCGTGTTGGAAAATTTCTTCCAACACGTATGTGAAATTTGGTTCACTACCTAATAATAATCATCGGACCAGTCCGACGGGTCGTCCCAAATCCCATCCAGCCGTTTTGTCTTGTAAGAGGTCAAGACGGGAAATTTGGCCCTTCTAGAAAGTCAGCGCGGACCAAGAAGTGTCCACCGCTGAGAGAGTAATAAAAATACAACAGACAGCCAGCAAGTAAAAGAAAAAGGAAACCACTCCCCATCCAGCTTCTCGCCACGTCTATCAATCAATCAATCTTGATCGCTGCAAAATCCACACTCTCTAGTTGTCCATTATACATCGCCGCGGTGGGCAAAATGATTCTGCTTCAGAATCTTCGAAATTAAAAAAAAAAAAAAAAAAAAAAAAAAAAAAAAAAAAAAAAAAAAAAAAAAAAAAAAAAACGCCATTCCATATTCTAGCCCACATTCGCTGTATATCGCTGTTTAATTCCATTAAACAAAGGAAAATATTAAAAGTTTGAAGGGTCGCTCAGGTTCGTGTATATGCGCCTGCGTATGTCGGCGCTGGCGAGTCCTTCTCGTAGGAGACTTTGTTGTGGTTGATAACCAAGTTGCGACCAGATTTGGCGACTTGTGTAGTGTGTTTATCTGCATCAACTGTTAAAATGGGTCTAAAAACTAAAGAGCCCGGAGACTCGGTGGCAGGCGACTTACCAGCCCCGTACTCGCGGTACTCGCCAGGAGAAAGAGATCGAGGTGTTGTGCTAGTTGAGGAGCTGTACGAACCAGAAGAGTAGCTGTATGAGCTGGAGATTGAAGGCTCCTTGGTGCTCTGGTGAATCTGGACGGTATAAGGGGAGCTCATGGTTGCGGTTGTAGGAGGTTGAGTGGTAGTTGTGTGTTTGTAAGAGTTGAGGTGCAAAGGGTTGTTGGTAGTGTTAATGGTTGGGTAGAACTGAGTTGTCTGAGTTGCCAAGTCTTTGTATGAGAGTGTTTGGTGAGAGTGAAAAGGAGAATGGCTTCGAGCGACGAAGGGGGTCTATATGTATTCGAAGCTTGGTGATGCGAAACGATAGTACGTACTCTATAATTGCAAGTGTGGGTTAACCCAAGGCTTGACTGCCTAGAGAACCAGGATTACCCTGCCCCAGCACAAGGCATCTTGGCACACTAGGTAGCCTCTGATATGGGGGGCTTAAGGAATTCCATCAACTTCAGGGGAGTGAGTCAAGGAGAGACCAGACGAAGAACCGAGCACGCGCATTGGTTCCCCAGGCCCGGCGCGGCAGACGGGCCATCTAAGGCACGACGCGGGAGGGCTAGCGATGGTGTACGTGCTGGGTCGTAAATAGATTGGCAGCACGGGGTGCAGTGTAGTTTGGTGGGGCGTAGCCAGATCATTGGGCATCGTGCTCAAGAACAATAGGGGAGGGGGCAAGAGACCACTCTCAAGAAAACATCCCGGTCTGGCTTCACAATTCCAATTGCAGAGAATCAAGTTAGGCTGGGCACGAGGTCACGAAATGACAGCACCGCGCTGGGCTGGGCTTCGGTGGCGAAAAGGCCATCAAGTGAAGCTCCCGTGCCATGGTGACGCTGCCCCGGGTAGGGCGGAGCCGTAGCAATACAGGGCGAATGAGCTTCTATCAATGCAGGGATGGGCAAGGCAAAAGCCAAGCCCCACGGTGTGGGCGAGGGAACCAAGACCAGGTTTGATAGGGACGCCATGGCATACAGGTGCGCAGTCCACAAAGCAAAGGAGACTGATAGAAAATAGACGAAACAGAAATGTCATTGTTGCCTGCAAATGGGGGCCACGAATGGCCTGTTGCGCTCGCTCTGTGCTGCGTTATCGAAAGACAGTCGCACAGCATGAGTTGACTGAGAGTCTGAGACCGAATTGATCGCTAGGCCAGGGATATCTTTCACGATGCAACCGTCTTTGAGTGAATGCATGAAACACTCGCAGCAGCCGTCCTGATAGAGGCTAGAGCCCAGGCACAACAGGCACCAACGCCAGTAACACGTACCATTGCTCTGGGACCGTGGAGCCGAATGAGTAACCAGATAAAAATATCCAAAAACTGGTCTTGGCTGGCTGGGTAAGAGGTAAGCAAGATTGAGGCCTCGCTTTGTCTATCCCACATTCCTATTTCTGTCTCAGACATATTTTTCTTCTACGACCCCTTTTCGGCTATGTTTGTCGTGATTGGCATTATGACCCTTGCACGACAGATTCTGATGTCTGTCGATAATCACGATATGAATCTTTCAGGGCATGCATCACAGCCGATCCAAACAAACGAAGCTTTCGATGCGCCCCGCCATGACGAAAAGGGGTTCAAAGGTGATCATCATGTCGCTTCTTCTAAAGAAAGACCATCATGACAAGCAGGAAGCGATAGCGATCGTGAAGCGCATTAGCGTTTACAACGCTTGGCCCAGGGCTCTTCGGCTCGGTGGATCTGACACCTGCAGGCTACCTAGGCTAGGATGTCCCCATCTGGGTTGCATCTCTGCATCTCCAGCTGCAGGAACTGATGCGCCTATTCGGCTGTAAACATGTCAATTACTGAAGCTCTACACCATCTCATGCTTGGGAGCTGTCACGCGTGAGTATATCGGCGCCCCAACCGCCGCAGCAGACGACTCATAGCTGCAGTGTCCTAAATACGGGTGGATGGATAGGCGGGTGAACCCGGCAATGGTCAATTGTCTGTCACTTTAGTTCATGATTCTGCGATGCGAAACATGACCGTCCAGTGACGTTGTGGTGATGTGGTACCCTGCTTCCAATAGCCTTGTTTATATGTACGTACACAAGTATAAATCAGGGACCGATAAGTATGTATTGTTTCACTTGTTACGCCTTGCGTAGCTGTAGCTGTAGTTGATTTCACTAATAGTGAAGCGTTGTGTAATCTCGTCATTAGTCACATGGTGAGATTTCGCCCTGGCAGATAGCGATAGCATATTTATTTAGTAATGAGCAGATGTTATCCACAGGTTCAGAGTACTCCATCCATACCTCATGCTAACTAAATACTGAAGTACGTAGATATCCGCAGTGTAAGGGTTGAAGGGACAACGTGATCGCGTGGCCGGGGTCAAGACTGGTAAGTAATAATTCCGTCTTCATGGATAGACCCTGTTGACATCAGTTCTGTTCATCCATATTTGGTAGCCCCCAGTTTCCAAATGAAGATGCAAGATGTGACAACCCAGTATCAGATCCAAACGGAAAGAGTCATTGAACGGGCCGCATCCCATTGGCCAATAGCATAATGCACCAGGAAGGGAAGTTATGACGCGCTGTTTTGTCTGGCTGTACCTACCACTACCGCTCCCCGCTAAACGGCCACGTCGCCATCTGAGAAACCAACCCCAGAGCTCTAATTTCTAGGGACAGCCCAGCCCATCCACCATACATCGACAATCTCGCATCACACTGCCTCACTTATCGACGTCACACCCTCGAATTCCAAGCTTCTCAACGTCTTCCCAGCCGTTGTGACTTCCAATTCTACGACACCTACAGCATACTCCACGTCCCTGTCTCCGCCCCGACCACCATCATGAAGGCTGCTCTGTTCCTTTCCGCTCTCGCCTCAGCCGCCGTTGGCGTTGTTGCTGAGGAGCTCAAGATCGATGTGACTCTTCCCGTTGTTTGCGAGCGCAAGACACAGAGGGGAGACAAGGTTCACATGCACTACCGTGGTACCCTCAAGGACTCGGGCAAGCAGTTCGATGCTAGTAAGTCATTACGGCGCCCTGCATCTGTAAACTTGCTTGGAGCAGAGCAAGTCATATGCTAATTGGGACACAAGGCTACGATCGCGGTACTCCCCTTTCCTTCAAGGTCGGTTCTGGCCAGGTTATCAAGGGGTATGTAGCATCCTCGTTGCGATACATTCAGGCCCGATGCTGACAATAGAAACAGATGGGACGAGGGTCTTCTTGACATGTGTATTGGTGAGAAGCGGTACGTCAAGGATACATAGCGACAACTAGGATATCACATTGCTGACTCTTGAATTAGAGTCCTGACCATTCCCCCTGAGTTCGGCTACGGCCAGCGAGCCATTGGCCCTATCCCCGCCGGCTCAACCCTAGGTACGTTATTTCCAGCTCTCCTTTTTCGCCTTACTTTCACCGCCTGACACCATGAAACTACAGTTTTCGAGACAGAGCTCGTCGGAATTGACGGTGTCCCCAAACCCGAGAAGATCGAGACCAAGGTCGTCGAAGGCGCCGAGTCTGCTGCCGAGGCCATCAGCGAGGCTACCGAGGCTGCCGCGACAGCTTCTGAGAAAGTTGCCGGCAAGGTTGCTGAGGCCATCATCGATGCTGCTAAGGCTGCCAAGACCATTATCGCTGATACCGATGACGCTCCCGAACACGAGGAGCTGTAAAGACATGATGTATAACGATTTACTTTGTGCATACCGCAAAACGCCATGACATATCATATCATCCATTATACATAAACCTAGAAGGCTGGATAACAAATTCCGTCGACGTTGATGTCATATCGTGTGCAATTCGATCGAGTAGGGCCCCACGTTGTCCTTGAGTGACTTGTTGGCTGTAGATGCATGACTGAAGATGTAGTGAGGGTTTGCCATCTACCTGGAGTGTGATTGAAGGGTTTGTTTAGTCGGTCTTGACGTCATGATCGATACTATTATTCTTCCTTATCCTTTTCTGCAGAAAGAAATCGCTTCTAGTGTCTCAAGTGTACCAGTCATGATGGTGGTTTCTGTCAAAATCCTTTTTCACCCCGCATCCATGTGATGATCTGGGTCAGTGGGCGGACATGTATGCATGCTGTTCGAGTCATGTTTACATGGGACGTTGTGTCTTGAACCTGTAGGACCCTCCGCTGATGAAGAAATAGTCTCGATGTACGATGCGAAGCCATGAGAGGAGTTTTTTCTGGTGGATTATGGAACCATCTGATCTTTTTACTACAGAATCTCCATTACAGAGGTCATGAGATCGCTCTTGAATGGTACTTTTCCCCAATCGACAGTGGGGTGACGAGAGGTCCATCTCATCTTCAGTGGTCAAGGTCTGCAGCATCCGCCGACTGCGTCATTAATACATGCTAGGATGCTGATAGAAAAAAAACGATGAGCATGGGTCCTGTAGCAAATTTGAAGTGCATCGTTAACCCTCGCCATCGAGAGTGTCTGTATCAGATGGAGTTACAATATTTTACTGCAAACTCCATGTTAATTATGGTTGGCCAGAATAATACTGTTGGGCCTTGATGATATACAAATGTAGTCGATCAGGTCGAGTTCTCGGATTTTGCCACGAGGACTGTGTCAATCAGGAAGCAACAAATATTTACGGCTGGTGGTGATCGTTCTGGTGCTATCACGAATATTCTGGATGGAGGTGCAGGGTATGTGAGTTGAAATGAATATCTCAAGTTGATCGACGGCGTATAACACGAGAAGTCAAAATTTGTTACATTTGATTGAGTATATACAAGTACATTTGTATTTTCTGATTGTTCTGAGGTGATTCTTGATGTAGAAGTAAATGTCAAGCTGTATTCAGGGACATGTGTGTATTTCTTGTCGCAACTGTGATTTGCCGCTTCATACACCCAAACAAATTTTTACTATGTTGAATACTGAGTTTGGTGTTGATGAGAGATACGTGTCTTTTCAACAGCCGTAATTCAAGGCCCGAGGATGCATCCATTATACGAAGTCATCGGTGAGTGTGGCCACTTAGATTGAATGTACCTTCTTTCGCCTGTTTACAGCGCACGCCTTGGAGACCAACGGCATTTATGTTCCAGCAATTCAAGATTTGACACGTTTTGACTACGCAAAAGCCACTCAATGCCACGCTTATCGGAAGATGAACTTGTGGCGTTCTTTCTGCCTTTCGAGGGGCTTGCATGTTGGGCCACTGTTTTCTACTTAAACAAATGACTCTCTTACAGGAGAGGTCAAATTAAAGATTGTGATTACGTGACCTGATATTTACTACAAAGATGACGCGAGCCTTTGAACAAAGGCTTCACTACCTGCCTAGGGAGAAAAGGGATAGCATGATTACTGGAAATCGAGTAAAGAGATGTGAAACACGTATCATCTCAACATATAATAATGAATGTTTTACGGTGGAACCAATAATACCCGTATGTCCCGCTGGCGGAACAAGACCCGGTAGGCCCATGCTCGGGAGCTACTTTAAAAGAAGCTTTTCTAGAGAGAGGGACGGAAACTACGGATAGCCCGTTAGAGTTGCTCTAGCTGTTGACAGCTTATTCGCAGCTATTATTTATGGGCATGATTGATTGTTGATTTTTGTAGGCAGTTCAATTCGTGTGCTCACAGGTTTTCTCGTACTTGATATCCCCTTTCACTGCATGATGCTCAACCTTGTAAAACGTTGCGCTATGTATCTGCTGCTAGGATCAATTCGAAATTATGCTTACCGTTTCAATTGGGATTGGGACGCGGTAACTTCTTAGCGCCCGCTCCATGACAGGATTCAACTTCCTCCCGTTATTCTGGGCTCGTCGCAGTGGCAGTGACTGACCCCTTGCACCGTATTCCAGGGGCGGGCCATTTGTCCCATCTTCAAGCTGCCTCCCATCTTGTCCCCCTTCAATCCAATTGATGCGCCGACAGTTGTCACTTCTCATCATCTCCCCACTGAGAAGGCTTCTTTTTTCCTTTTTGTTGCACCCTTTTCTTCCTGTCTGTTCGGCGCCCGACTTTCTTACCCAGCCATTAAATCTGTTTCCCTTCCTTCATACTCACCTACCATTGCGTGTTCATGATACACAAACAATCTCGCCTGGCAAACGCAATGTCATATTTCTTTCAATAACATCGTCGAATTAAACTTATAAGCTTTTCTGAGGCTCTGCGCCTGTTTCTTGGGAGCTGACCCAACCAGCCGGGTTACGTATCTTGGCGTCTCACCTCTACCACCCAATATCTATCCATCTTAATGTTTGAATTCATTAAGAATCGTTGGCAGGACCTCCGTGAGGAGCATCCGCGCCTTGATGCGGTAGCTACAAAGGTTTGGATGGTAGTTCCGCCCATCAACTTCATCACCATTCACTACGCCTATTTTATTTTCGGCTCACTCATATTCTCTGTCATTTTCTGGGGATCGAGTCATCCAAGTCAAAGTATTCCCTATATCGATTGTCTGTTCCTCGTCGTGTCCTCCTTTTGTGACACAGGCCTAAACACAGTCAATCTTTCCGAACTCACAACATGGCAGCAGGTTCTGCTATATATTCTGTTTATTCTCGGAAGTGCACTTTGGGTCTCGTTTTGGACTGTTATGGCACGAAAACATGCTTTTGAGAAACGTTTTGAGGATATTGTCAGGATAGAACGAGAGGCGAGGAAGCGACGCGCTGCATTGAGGCGCTCCAAACCACTTGGGAAATTTCTCTCATTCGACAAGTACAAAACATCACCTGCATCTACAGGAACCTCTAGTATTCTACCAGGCCTGGGCACCAAACAGAAAAGCGTGACCGAGAAAACCGACACAAACACAAACGATCTGTTTACCACGACTAAGCCTATACGCCGAGCAGTGACAGCTCCCGAGGACTCTATATCCTCCGACTCCGATGACAATGATAGCAACAGAACACACGTGGCAGCATCATCGCGCATACCTCCTCCAACTTCTAGTTCCGGTGATCATATACAGTTTGCTGATAACTTATCACCTCGAAGTGGCGGTAGAGACAGTATCTCTATTTACCGACGGAATGACGATAATGAACTCGGCCGACATCCTTCAGCAGCATCTGTAGCCGATAGCGACGAATCAGAAGACTTTCTCTTACACTGGAAGAAGATTCTTGGCAGCCACAACACAAGCAAGAGAGGTCAGTTCTACGACCTTTCGTCCGATGAGCGTGAAGCCTTGGGTGGCTGTGAGTACCGTGCGCTCAAGGTTATGTCCGTCACTGTCCCTCTTTACGGCTTTGCATGGCAGGCCATATGCGGCATTGCCTTGGGTGCTTGGATAAACAACAACCGGCCGTCCGCGGCGACGGTGAATGGCCAGAATCCTTGGTGGAGCGGTATCTTCCTTTCTGCTTCGGCGTTTAACAATGCAGGCATGTCACTCAATGACGCAGGCATGTCTGCTTTCCAAGATGGCTATTTCGTCTTGATTGTTGTGGGTATCCTGATCTTGGCTGGTAATACAGCCTATCCTCTACTTCTGAGATTTTCCCTCTGGTGCAGTCTCCGAGTGCTACAATTGACGACTCAGCCCAAGACACTTGGGCCATGGAAGGAAACCATCGAATTCATTCTTAAGTACCCCCGTCGAGTTTACACGACCCTTTTCCCATCGGGTGCAACCTGGTGGCTGTTCCTTGTTATTTTTGTCATCAACACAATTGACTGGGTGGCTTTCGAAGTTTTGAACATTGGCAATAAGGTCGTGGAGAGCATGCCTGTATCTGACCGCATCATTGCTGGATGGTTCCAAGCAATCGGTAAGTGAAAAGTCCCTGCATAACCGGATATTGTGCTAACAACCGTGTCAAGCTGTTCGCGCTGCTGGCTTCGCTGTTGTCTCCATTGGAAGTCTTTACCCTGCTGTCCAACTGTTGTACATGATCATGATGTACGTCTCCGTGTATCCCGTTTCGATCACGATGCGTCACTCCAATGTTTATGAAGAGCGATCCCTCGGCATCTACGAGGATGACCCGCAAGTCTTGGAAGCAGAGAACGGAACTGGCCATCTTCCCCCAATCTCAGAAGTGCCAGAAAAACCGGCGCTGCGACGAAGAGTCACAGCTGCAGCCCAGAAAACAGTAAAGAAATCCATGACCTTCCATGGTGTTGGTGTGCGGCCTCCGCCTAAAGGACCGGACGACAATTCTCGTATTTCATTCATTGCTCAGCAGATGCGTGGACAGCTTGCGCACGATCTGTGGTGGCTTATTCTCCCTGTCCTTATCATTATGATTATCGAAACCGACAACTTTATCGAACAGCCTCTTGCTTACAGTATCTTCAACGTGCTGTTTGAGGTTATTTCTGCTTATGGATGTGTTGGATTGTCTGTTGGAGCCCCAGGTCAAAGCTACAGCCTGGCAGGAGGCATGCACACGGGCAGTAAATTCGTACTTTGTTTAGTCATTCTTCGAGGTCGGCACCGCGGTCTACCTGTTGCGTTGGACAAGGCTGTCCGGCTACCAGGAGAGAAGCTGGCTCGTGAAGAGGAAGAAGACTCGAAAATTAGAAGAACAAACACAATGTTCAGGATGGCCAGTCGAGAAAACAGGGCGGTTTAAGTTCAAACATAGAATGTATATGATCTAGGCGTTGAAGGATTTGAATTACGATAGATTTGAGCTAGATAGTCGAGTTAGAAGCCAAGAATGTAAGGATCTCTACACAATGATTTAGTAAAACCGTCTTTGCATAGTTCAATCATCGAATTAATTTCCTATCCAAAGAATAGCTGTTTCTGTTTCGGATCCGGCGCCTTTGACTTTCCCCTCTTCTTATCTATCGTCCGTGGCCTTTTGCTTTCTGGCGTCGGGTCGCGCCTTATTGATGGGCCATCCGCCTGGATAGCCTCGCGAATCGTCTGCCTCGACAAGCAATGGTCGATGTGTTCATTGAAATGGCGTTCATTGGCGGTTTGCGGCCTACTGCATATAGGGCAATCCCACCATTGCTCTTCGACAATATCCGCTTTGGTGGGATTAGTGGCAATCTCCTTGCCATGTCTGCGACCTGGCGACTGTTCAGGAGTGTCCTGGTTATTGGAAGAACCTCCAAGAAGACCATCTACGTCATCAAGTTGAAAATCGGCTTCTGACCATTGTTCCCATTCACCATCGTCGCTTGCTTTCCTTTTCAGGGTTCTTTCCGCTTTCCGCTCTTCGGAATCTGTACGTCGAGGCTTGAAGCCAAAGAAAGCCATAGTGTCGAGCTTCTTTGTTTTGACGAGATGCGTGCAGCGCAGGCCCATCAATCGCAGCCGCATACCGGGCATATCTTGTTCCAGCTTAGTGAGAATAGGGAGGGCATAGTTATATAGGTCACCAGCGAGCCATATGGCCCTAGGAAGGACGGCCTGGCGGGTGAAAACTTCAAAAGTATGGAGTTTCACCTTGAGGCATAGGGTTCGACCTTTGCATTCGGCACGCTTCATATCCTGCTCTAAATCTTCGGCTGTGGAGCGTAGCTTTTCTCGAAGTTGTGTTGGATCAGACATGTCGCGGAACGTGCTCTCAGTACCAACACTCTTGCGCTCGTATTCTTCCGCGGGTTGGATTTTGGTGCGGCCAAGTCCCAGATAGCATGTGAACAGAAACTCGGAAGTTTTCTCGCCAAAGAGCGGGTTCAAGTATTGTCGATGCTCGTAAAGATCACCACAAGTCTTGATGCCGATTTCCAAAAGTTCTCTTTCAAGCACTCGACCTATGCCATTCACTTTCCGCGTTGGAAGGTCACGCATAAAAGCCAAGATGGTAGGTCGGTCGCTGGGTAAAACGTATTGTCCGTTGGGCTTGTTCATATTTGAGCAAATCTTTGCAAGTTTTGCATTGGCCGCAATACCGGCAGAGACAGTGATGTTTGTCTTTTGGTGAACTTCTCTCCTCATCTGTTCGACAACTTCTGCTGGACCCATTTGATGTTCCTGGCAGTACTCTGTGATGTTCAGATATGCCTCATCGATTGAAGCACTCTCGAAGCGCGGATCGTAGTTGACAAGAACTTCCCGAACTTCATGCGCTTTGGCGGTGTACTTTTGAAAGTTGGGTTTGAGGAGGATCAAGTTTGGACATAGCTTCTTGGCTACGAAGCCAGCCATACCTGATCGGCAACCAAACTTGCGGGCAACATAATTGCATGTAGTCAAGACACCACCACCGACAGCAAACGGTAGATCCTTTATCTCAGGGCGATCGAGCTGCTCAACCGCTGCATAAAAGGCGTCGCAATCAACATGTACTATATGCTGGGTCAGGTCACGAGTAAGCTCAAGTTCGGCGATGAGACGATCAGCGTTACGCAAGTCGCGGGTAAGGTCTCTTTTCTCCAATTGGGTCTTGCGAGCAATGATTTGCTCGATCTTTTGGGTTAGAGTCTTGTCTCTTTCTTCTTCTCGATTGTAGAATTTGGAGCCTTTTGATGCATTATAGATGATTTCAGAAACCTACATAATTCGTCTCAGTAATAGTCCAGCACCAAAACGCGAAGAATGCATACCTTGGTTTGGTCGACCTTATCCTGCCCTGCCTTGAGGAGAGACGGTCCTAGAAGGGAATACTTGAGTGTTTTGAGGGTACCGTCTTCGACCTTCTCAGGCACAACTTCGCTGACGTCTTTGGTCTCTTTCTCAGTCACTGTGGCTTCCTTTACAGTTCGTAATGGAGGCTTCTCCTCCGGAAGATCAGTTGCTACCATATCAAGGAATCAGTAGTGGTGTCTTTATATCATGGACAGGGACTATCGAAGGCATCATGACCCATACGATGTCGTCGCGTCTGAGTGCTCAGGAGTGACGTGACGAGGGGCCCCTCAAAAAAGCCAGGACGCGTTCTAGGGGCACGAGACCATGTGACTGGCATTCAGACAGGTACGTACCTGACGGCTTTGACTCGCTTGAGGAGCTGTCTGTATCTAGCGGGGGGCGCTATTTTGGAAATGGGGCAGCTTCAACGACACCAAGGGTCCTCCGCTCTCGATTGGCCAACCGATGTGCTTCCCCTCCCCAAGAACAGGTGGTTAAGCGCCGACACTGACAACTTACATGCATTATGTCGTCTCTTGGAAACACAAAAGTCGATCAGTCGCTCTGTAGCCGGCGAGTCAAATAACGCCCAGCATGAGGGTTGGAGGTGGAAAGGGAGGGTACAAAAGCCCAAGAAACCCGCAAGTTGTGGAATCTTTTATCGTGCTTCTCTTTTTCCTCGGACGAGTGTCTTGACTCTGTGACTGTTTGCTTCTGAACGATTGAGACTCTTAGAGACAAGCCATTAAAATGGCAACGCGACAAGGAGAGGAGAATGTTGCGACACTGTAAGTTGCGACGCCGAAGCTTGCCGAGCTTACAATTGCTGACTTGCATTCTCCATCAAGTTTTGCAGACATTCATTACTTTTATGGTCCAGAGCACGTAAAGCCCAGGCATCACAGGTTTGACAAGGGCTCTTATGTCTATCTCTTCGAGAATGCGAACGAGCGCCGATGTCGTATCGAGATTGCCAATCAGCCTGGTACTGAAGATCAGGATGCTCTCGAAGGATGTAAGGCTTTAACTGATAATAAAGATATAAAGTGAAGGGTTCTGACAACACAACCTGCAGATCTCGACCAAGCGCACGTTCGATATTCCTACAAGCAACACTGCGCCGTTACCTTAACCGGCCCTGAAGCTGTTGCTGACCAAAACGAATGGCACCTACCGACATATGATCCTCATAATCAAAACAAATATCACTACCAGCTCCACTCACTCGAAATCTACTTTTGGACGCAGCAAGATGCGCTCCAGTTTGTTAATGGTGTCCGGAGAGTTGTTCCACCCTCACACGTTGAGGTCTTGGACGAACCAGGCCCGCCTCCTCAACCTGCGCCTATGAGCGCCGTGGTTCAGCAACTGGAAAACGCTGCCATCTCAGATCCTCAATACGGATCTGCCGCTCCGAACTTTGCGCCTCCTCCTACTGCCCCGGCTCCGGCTCCGGCTCCGGCTCCATCCTCCGAAGCCCCGGCCAGTTTTATCCCGATGGCTTATAACCCGGCCGCTCCAGCAGCTCCAGAGACAATTCAACATCGAGAAAAGACACCCCCTCCGGATGAGGACCCCCTTAACCCGCTTGCGGTAGCTGTTGCATACGATTACCACAAGCAGCCCTTCACACCGGGTATGCCACCGCCGTCTCAATTCCCTCCTGGAGGCGTCACAAGCCCAGGGTTACCTCCACCGCAGTTCGGCCAGCACCCTGGACTCCAAAGAGCTGCCACAATGCCTGCTCAAGCGTTGGGAAGTCCATACGGCGCAACCTTCCCTGGCTCGCCTGGATTTGTATCTCCGCCACCACCTCCGCAAACTCAACCTCCAGCACAAGCCCAACCTCACGCGCAACCGACACCACCTGCGACTAACCCAGGACTGCCTCCACCACCACCAGGAGGCTTTGCGCAGTACACATACACTCAGCAACAGCAGCAGGCATCTGCCCAAGCAGGATCAGAATACAACATTCATCAGCAACTCTATCGCCCTACGCAAACAGAACTGGCAAACTCAGAAATACACGGCTTCCAGCCCAAAACGTCGGAGCCACGAGGTAAACTCGAGGAGAATGCGGGACGTTTGGAACGTGGTGTAACGGGCATGTTGAGAAAGTTTGAGAAGAAGTTTGGATAGATGGCATGTGGCCGTGCAAGAGTTTAGGTTATTGCATTTAATCTTAATTATCATAGTTAATTTCATGATACCGTTTCATCCTTTGTTTTGTATGGCTTGTTTCAAGTGTAGGGTTCACCTGTTCAGGAATTAGAACGCCATACCTACCTATACTAAAGCTCTCTGAACAGGAGCCTAATAAAGTACCTACTTAGGAGTGAATTAAGAATTATGGTTAGAGTCGAGAAGACTAAAGAAGAGAGATGAAGGCAGTTGTGGGAAGGGTTGGTTGTCACGGAATAGCCGACAAGGTGCATCGATTAAGAGAATACATAGACTTAAGTCAACCCCTGCAAAGCCTCTAAAGCAAACATTGAGGAAGAATGCAATCGCATTGTGGCCATAGCTTCCGAAGAATGTCTGGACCAACAAATGAAACAATGCTACCAACGATTGATCAATGGATCAAACAAAGCATCAGATTCTTTCTCGGATACCCGACATTCCACAATGCTTAGGATAAGGACCAGGACCAGGACAAGGACCAGTGTCATCATGATTGCGCCAGAAAGACCAGCTAAAAAGTGCGGGGAGGCTGAGTTTGACCGGGGGTTAGACACAGTCAGTTAGAGATCATCCCAGCCAAGCCACCAGCCACGCCACAACCTTGAAATGTCAGCTTCAGGAACGTAGCTGTTTTTGTTGATCTTTTGTCTAGTGAGGGGCCGTTAGTATCGAGTGGATACATAAAATTCAGTAGTCGCAAGTTTTACGCGGCGAGCATCATGAAACGTAACTTGGTGGATGAACCAAGACCAAGATCAAGTTTTAGAAAAAGGTATTCTCCGTTCTATGTAACGACACCTCAATGATTGACAGTAGAGTATGCCTCGTGCCCCCGCAGATCTGAGGGATTGCGCAACATGATGCTTATTCTGTTGGTGATGGAGCTGCGCTGTCAGTTGTGGAACTTATCACAACGGTTAGATAAAGAGAAGAACGGGTTCCTGGTCTGCACCAGCCACAATGTCTTCTCATCTTATCAATGATCACCCTTGAAAAGGTCATTTGGTTCAGATTTGATAGATACCCGTGAGATGTCTCTGAGGTATGGGGCAGTAAGCAGAGGCTAATGAGATGCCATAGGTCAGAGCTTGGCCCTAATGGAGGGAACCAGTGGAAGGAAGTTCACGTAGTCGCTTAGCTGATGTCACCATCTAACGGCCTGACAAGTCATGATTGCCCAGCAGTCACAGTCTTTGATGTAGAGGGTAGGTTAGTAGGTAATCTTGCTAACTCTTGATCTGACAGCACACAAGGAATTGGTCTTCGTCATCTCTTGATCTCAAAACGATTTGCTACATGTATTAACCATCTTGTTTATTATTCTTTTTTATCACTCTTTTGTCTTTGAAACACACAGGCGCGTATTAAAGAGCCCTGAAAGGAAAAGGACCCCGAAAGATCCCTGTTGGCTCCAACTCAGACTCAGCCCTGGGCCAAGTCGATGGGACACCCGTCCCAATCCAGTCCAATCCAATCCAATCCGACCAACCTCGCGAGGAGGCGCGAGGAGGAGGAGCGCCCGACATATCGCGGCTGTGCTGTGCTGCATTTGCGCTGCGCTTTTCCTGGAATTGGAGACAAGACTTTTCTTCTTTCTATCTTCCCTGTGGTTTTGCTTCTTCCATCAAACATTGATTTAGAAATATCGTCATCCTGCCCCGTTACTCAAGCTTGTATACAAAACCCTGTCTGTACTCCCGTCTCGTATCAACCTACAGACTACGTCTCCAGCTCGGGCGTGCTTTCCCGTGGTCTCCGTTCCTTCCGCTTCTTCCAACCCCCTCTCATCTTTTAACCTAAAATTGCTGTTGCAAGACGCTTCTACCAGTGCTTGAAAGTACAGCTCGAATCAAAATGCACTTGAACGCTCCAATACCGCGTGGCCGGAAGCCTGGGGGCTTACTACAACGCCGGCAATCACCGGGAGCCGGTCAGAATATGGTATTCGTTGTAAGTTTGATCGAGCGACGCTGGCCCAACACATCTCTAACAGCTATTCCCCAATACATAGATTCTCGGTAGTCTCGCTGCTATAGTCTTGGCAGGGACCTTGATTATATGCATAAGAAAGTCCCGTGCAGACAAGAAGAAGAAGAAGCTCAAGGGCACACAAGAGACAAATAAGGGAGGTATTCTTAAGTGGCTGTATAGAAGGAAAGGACATTATTCACAGACACCAAGCGAAGACGGCGGGGAAAGCGCGAGGCAGTCACATCAGCTTGATTCCAATCCCCCGTCAACGAGTAACCGACAAAATCGCAACAGCACCCGCAATAACAACAATAATAACAACAACAACAACGGCAACAGCAGCAATAACGCCGGCGCGACCATCGATAGAAACACTTCGGTCCGCTCAGTGCTTACTTTGCCCGCATACCGACAGAGTGCTAACCACAATGAGCAAGTCTTGGGAAGAGAGGGCGAGCGAGATGGCGTTGACGTTATCATCGACTTGCCGACTGCAGAAGCAGAGGAGGAAGCAAGAAATGAAGAGATGGAGACAATGTACCAGATAAGATTGGCTAGAAGACAGGCCATTGCGGAGCGAGAGGAGCGAAGAGAACGTCGCAGAGAGGCACGGCTTCGAAACGACTATCGCGAGCTGGAAGCCATCAGAGCCGAAACCCGGGCTGCGAATGAGGACAACACCATTAGTGAACTGCGAACGACTGTGGATCACCTTAAAGACAACCGGCAGAGATCCGTATCAAGTGTGTCATACGCAGACGTGGGCGTTGCACGTCACGATGGAACGAGGATCAGAGCCAATAGTACAGAGAGCGAACGTGTTGGTTTACTATCTGATGCTGCGAGCATGCAATCAGGACACCAACGCGGGCGAAGCTTTAGTTCTGCCGCTAGCCACGACGACGATTTTTCGAGTCTTGCGCCAGCGCGCTCACGGGGAGCTTCTATCCGATCAGGCAGTGCAGATGGTAGAGCTGGCTCGAGCCCTGAACTGGTAGAAGCAGATCTTGGTGACGAAGCAATGCCTCCTCCAGATTACGAGGACATACCGCTTAACGACGACCGATCTTCAATTCACGGTCCCCCGCCCAACTATCCTGGTCCTGAGCAGTCTGCACCACAGGGAACGCAGCAAACTACAGAGCAAGATCTGGGATCGGATTGGCAAATGGCTGACGCACCAGCCACTAGCAGACACCACAGCAACAGTTCTCGCAACGGTGAAGGCAACAGCGAAGCTCCGCAACTACCAAGCTTAAGCATACCGCAATTGCCGGAAATCGTTATTGAACCCTCGAGCGCACACCCGCGAGACGGCGAACGGACACCACAGCGATGATATATATATGGAAGCCTTTCTTTTTATTTTATTTTAGCAGCGTCTTGTTTTATCCCTTTTTGAGCATGGAGTTTGGTATGGCTTGGATTTTGTTTACTACCAGTGACGTCTGGTTCGTCAGCCTTGATTGAGTTTAAGGTTCAGCGGCAGTACATGTCTCTTTATACTTTATGAATTGCGTTCATTGCACTGTGTTGTTTCTGTCAGTGGATGTCCAGTGCTGGCATGTGATGAGGAGCCACCGTGCGCCTTTGCAGCGATAGAAAGCTGCATTCTGACATGCGTTTGGGGTTATCATGTGACGATGATCTTGATAGTGTATTCTCATCCGGCCATTGCGAGTTAGTCGTAAGTCTCGAGATAGGTTTCAGAGCCGTATCAGCTTCAGAGCTGGCCTGGGTATGAGATTTGCACGAGAAGTCGTTCCATGATAACGAGAGGGTGGATAATCATGGTTAAGCGAAGCTCAGATAATACACAGTAAGCAGCTTAGTGCAACAGCTGTTGTTGGTTGCTTGTAAGATCCACAGGAACGGTGAATGATTTATGTAAACGTGTACTGATGTCGGTGAGAGATCTTGACTATCGGTAGGTACGAGTTTACCTAGGTACGATATAATGCGAGATGAGAGGAGAACGAAAGCGGACGATACGGATATATCGATCAGGTTAGGATGACGAATGCAGGAACCATCCACCTACTGTAAGCATTATGAGAGTTTATTTCACGTTGTCTAGGCAGCAAATATTGGATAAGTTGAGACATTGGCTTATCAAATCGTTAGCTAATAAGGTGAAATGGGACCGAACGAGAAGGAGGATTGTTGATTGTCAATAGCCGCGCGCGCAGTCGGAGTAAACCGAGTGGAAAACTGTCCCCGCAATGTTTTGTCAGGCTCGTGTAATAAAAGCTAAGCATCGTCTCCTAGGTAAGCACTTATCAGCCTTGACTCAGCAGAAAAAATGGTGGGTGGCCTGTATGCAACTTGTACCGTGGACGATGGAAGCGGGGCAGCGTCATGGAGCTTGGTTTCTCTTTTTTTGTTCCATTCGACAACGATTAAGTTTGACGAGGAGATTCATGTATCAATAGAATCGAATTGCTTTTGTACTTAATTAAAAGAAATAAAGCCAAAAATATATATATATATATGATATATCAATTGGAATTATAGCTTTTGTATTGTAACTAAAATAAGAATCGAGCTTATTTACCTAAGCGCATAAGGAAGACAATTCCTGTATCATGATTCAGTGACATGATACATCCTAAGCTTCACCTCCACTTTTTCCCACCTGCCACCCAAGCTCTCTCTTGCAGTTCGATCTGCTAATGTATGTATCTTTTCTCAATGGAGATTCCGGAACTGGCAATACGGTAGAGTTGCACCAATGATATCATGACCGACCGGTTCACTTCCTATTCAAACTAACACGTATACGTACCTACAGTGGATATCGAAGACGGTCCTCCATGTAGAAGCTTCCATCCCCAGGTCCGGGCCAAAAGCTCACAAGGTCCCCTCTAGCTATAAGACAAGCTCCCCTCGTCCCCCTTTTTCCCCCTCTGTTCCATCCTCATCAAACTACTTGTCTTTGCTTCTTTACTTTGATACCCCCAAGATACCCAAATCATTCACAATGGCTCCCAAGATCGCTATCGTCTACGTATGTTTACCCCTCCAACTTGTTGTTCCCAGCCCCGCCATCGTTGTCTATACATGATATACTCTGTTACTCATGTGAGACGTTGGACTTTGCCATACACTGCAGTGATATTTTTCATAAAGAATCTCTGTTGTGCTCTCTACTCAAATCACCATCAGTCATGATTATAGACCAGTCACTAACATCATCCCCAGTACTCCATGTACGGCCACATCAAGCAGTTGGCCGAGGCTGAGAAGGCCGGTATCGAGAAGGCTGGCGGTACTGCCGACCTCTTCCAGGTCCCCGAGACCCTCCCCGAGGACGTCCTCGCCAAGATGCATGCTCCTCCTAAGTCCACCGACGTTCCTACCCTCGACGACCCTTCCATCCTTGAGGGCTACGATGCCTTCCTCCTTGGTATCCCCACCCGTTACGGAAACTTCCCCGCCCAGTGGAAGGCTTTCTGGGACAAGACCGGCAAGCAGTGGGCTTCCGGTGGTTTCTGGGGCAAGATGGCCGGTATCTTCGTCTCCACCGCCTCCCAGGGTGGTGGTCAGGAGACCACTGCTCAGAACGCCATCTCTACCCTCACCCACCACGGCATCATCTACGTTCCCTTCGGTTACGCCAAGGCTTTCGGTACCCTGACTGACCTCTCCGAGGTTCGCGGTGGTAGCGCCTGGGGTGCCGGTACCTTCGCTGGTGGTGATGGTTCCCGTCAACCCTCGGCCAAGGAGCTCGAGCTTGCTCAGGTCCAGGGAGAGTACTTCTACCAGACCGTTGCCAAGTTCTCTGGTTGACTGCATGGCAGCAGCCAAGCCAAGGCTGCGCCACCGGTGTCCGAGAACACCAAGCCTGCTGAGGCTGAGAAAGATGTTGCACCAAAGACGGATAACAAGGGACCACAAGAGCTCAAGGAAGTCAAAGAGGGTCCCTGCGGCCTGCCCGCCAAGTGTGTTGTTCAATAGATGAATTCAACGATAATGCAATGCGATGCTTAGAATCAATACAAACATGTTAATCATTCATTTAAAACGTTGACTGTGATGCGCTGTTGCTGTGCCAAATCATACATGACTAGAGTTCGCGAGCTGATGCTGATCAATCCGACTACAAGATCATTCCCAAACCAAATCAGAGTAACTAAACTCGAACAACCCGTCCACTGTGTCCTTCGTCAAGATACAAAGCCTCTCTCCACAATCGATACTTTTCAGTTCACAACTGATACTTCGCTCTGGCAGAGTCGAAACCAGATTGGTGAGAAGAGTGTGCAAATACTTCGAAGTCGGTGGGGTCGTTGGCATTAACACATAGATACCACCTGGCGCAACCTGCTTCTAAAAAGCTTTAAGAACCTGGATCTGATACTCCAATGCATGGAAGCCATTATCGATAATAATTTCGAATTCTTCTTCCAACTTGTCTGCCTCGACATGATGATAAGAACTGCCTGGTGGTAGAACGCGAGCAGGAGTCATCGCCTCCCATATATAGACCAGGTTGTCGAAGGCTTCCGGATCAAAATGGCCCTGGGGACGTGCAACCAAATCTGTGCAAATCGAATTGCTCTCAATCGCATAATGTTCGCTCGTTTGGGGCAAATATTCTTGCCATGCTCTGTATAAATTTCTGATTGTGGGGGTCTATTGTTACTTGTTAGCCAACAACATATGCGCATAGAAACGAAACAATTACCCGACGGCAGCCCACCCCGAGCTCAAGCACTCTAAGAGGGGAGTCTTGAAGGGGTTGAATGTACTGTTTGACCACTAATTCGTGGTTTCCGATGGTGGTTTCATCGACCCCATACTTGCGAGCAATACTTGCAAAGTTAGATGTGATGTTCAACGGAGCCATCGTGAAGCTTCTTCCTGTGGTTGCTATTGCGGGCGGTATTGTACGGTATGGTACTTCAGCGTGCAGGACCGGACGGTCATTGGTTGGCATTTGCTCGAAGCTGGAGACTGCGTACATGGCGATGACCAGCACCACCACTTTGATACATGCCTAGAGCAAGCTGTGGTACAATTGGCCAACATCCCTACGTAGTATCCGAGGCATGATGTTGATGGATTCTTGGAAGAGTTGGAAATAATGGCAAAGATATGGCACCGTTCGTGATGATGTGAGTGATGCGGTGATTGAATGTGATGTAGTGAAGCGATATGAAGTTATGGTGTGCTGGTGATTAAAGGTCCAAGTTTTTCGAAAGGGGGACGGGATATGGATAAGTGTGTATTAGGGGATACCTACCTCCTACTAAGGTAGGTACTATCCATGGCTTGATAAATTCCATTTCACATTTTTACTGGCAGGTACCTTGATAAGTTAGTAGCCAAGGCAGGCCATACAGGTAGGTACAGTATATCTACCAAGGTAGCCGCATCGAGCGTGGGCGGTTCTTTCCATGTCCACATCATGGGAATAACAGTTTGGCTTCTAAGTAGAGGAAAGATCAAGAGAGAGAACAAAACATATTTCCAGTAGTGCCACCCAACCATAGTACGGATGTTAAAAAACAACATCACAACATTAGCTCATATTTCCGTACAAACTCATCTCTAGACATTAATCTTTGCCCTCTATTTTTGGAAAAGATTTGTTCTTGACCCCTGTGGGTTGTCCTGCAGTTCACCGTCGTAAACTTTTGCTCGCTCATCTCGGACAGGTCCTGCCATTTGAATTTCTCCTCGGTAAATCTCGATGACGTTTACCAGCGGTAGGATGAGAAGAAGCATGGAGAGAAGCTGCCCGAAGCTCCAATCAGTCTCGCCCTGATCTTTCAGCTCGATCGATGGGTTGCCAAATGCCTGGGACAGCAGAATAATTCGAATAGCGGCGCCAATGGCGATGGCTGTCATCAAGATCAACCCAGCAATCTGTATGGCCTTGTAGAATCGCTGCTGCTTGCTGTGTAGATACCAGGTAGCCAGGCCGAAGACGATGCAGTTTCCGGCAATAACGACGATTGTCCCAACATAAGACAGCCCAGCCATAGACGCAGCTCCTTGACCATCAACTTTCCAAACACATGAGACTGGCAGAGTCTTATCATCCAAGCCTTTCGAGACGCCCTCGAGAACAAAGACACCAGAGACACAAGACAGCGCCAGGTTGACGAACATGAGGAACTGTCGCATCCATCGAATCACCCAATCGCGGCGGTAATCTTGCTTAAGGGCTAGCAGTGTTGTGTTGTGGGTCGCCATGGAAAGAAGCGACAGCATCCATATGAGAAAGAAATGATACGGCACGAGACTGTTCATCTTGGCGAGCCCAACACTCTGGATACCAATTCCTTGCATAATCTGAGAGTCGCTGTAGCCGTTGAGTAGCTTCCGTCGGATGACAGACTCCTTGCCTCGCATCTCCGCGAAGATGACGCTACTCGATAAAATGACGGCAAGCAGCGCCGTAATCATGAAGGACAATAGAATCTGTTGAGTTCTGTTAGCTTCCTGCACCTCTCTGGTTTCTCAAGTTCAAACATACACCAGCACCTGCGACGCCCGCGTCGCTGGCTATGGGAGCGGTCGCGTTTCGATCGCAGTTGGCCTCTTCAAACAACGCCATGATGAAAACAAAAACAGATTTAATGAACGTCTGGTATATGCAGAGAATGGACGGAAGGCATCACCAAAAGGCAGAAGAAGTCAAATCAAGGGTTCAAAGAATGACTGGGACACAAAGGAATTAGTATTATGACGTTTAAGCGCGGAACCCCTGGTCGTGGTGGTTCCTGAAACAGGGTCTTTGTCGGGATCTACGGGTGAGATTGCGGAGTCACTGGATGGCATTCCAAGTTGGCATTGAGGCTATGTTGAAGACGTTTGGGCCAAATCCTGCCAGCGCATAATCAGACGCACCTTCTTCGTGTGTGGCATGGCATGGGCATTGCTAATGATGCTTGATTGCCACAAAGAGCAGTGTCCAGCCGTTTCGCATAGGCAGGCTTTGCTTCAGTCATCACTATCCAGCAAACATGGGAGACTTATCATACAGTCCCCAACGTGATGGCCTTTAGCAATTACTTTTCACCTCAAATACACAATTGTCCATCCCAGATCAAACTACCAGTGAAACACACGATTTTGCTAATTTTCTCAGATCGATTGACATGTCCAATCTCCTTGGCCCCGCATGGAGTAGATTTGGTTCATCAAAGTGGCACTAGGAGATGAAACAATTGACGATCAGCATCAATTCTGTTCTACTAGCTAAAGCCAAATAAGCATCTTCTGTATATGGCTGTTTAGGGATACCACAATTCCTTACTTAGCCAGTGGATAGCAGAAACGTTGGCCTCCTGAGTCTTAGGGTACAAAAATAATTAGTCTAAAGACCATAGTCTAAGGAGCATAAGCTAACCTACTGATTTCGTTTTTTATGCTCCTCGCGACCAATTTCTACGATACCCTGATGCTCACCCATTCTCATCAAATCGGCATGGACGGCATCAAGCATTTTCTACGATGTCGATGGCTAAAAAAAAATATGATGGCCATTTTTGCTTGACTATGAACGGTTTTGAATCAGCCCATTTGTATTTATACTCACCAGACGTGCCCACGAGGCCCGGCTTTAACCATCAGATACACCTGTCACATCAGTCAGCGGAAAGAGGACCAACGGAGTTGACCTTTATGCGTTTCAAATCGGGACACCATTCAGCACCAGGCGCTGATCAAGAAAGCAACTGAACTACAACGCCTTGACAATCTGTTAACAATCTGTTGGCAACGTATGGAATTTGATTCCGACAAGCAGGCCCTAAAAGGACAGCTTTCCGAACATGCCTTGCCCTTTCGTACATGCTATTTGCTCACAGGCGAGCGCAGCGGCACAGGTGCGCTTGTAAGGGGAAGGACGGGATGCTTGGTTGTTTTCAGTCTCTGGTATCCTGGGAGAAAGTACCCAGATTCTTGAAAAGACGTTGACTTTAACCTGCTTACATCTTATCTCGAAATACCATTTGCGATAGTTGAGGCACGGAGTGGCGCGAAAAGAGATGACGATCTTGCAAGAATTCTCTCATGCGAAGCAACACAAAAATGCGAAGCAACACGCCTGCTTTGTGGTCCAACCCAGTCAAAGTGCGAGATAGTGAATGGCGCACACTGAAAGTCCTCCTTCGTATGGGCTTCGTACCCACATTATTGGGCAGAGAGAGAACAACTTGTCGTATGCCAAGGCCGTTGTTTTCACTTCTCTTCAACATGAGTTGAGAGGTAGCTCGGGCCAGAGTGAGTTGTGGCTGGCATAAAGTGATCTATCAAACAAGCAAAGTCGATGCTTGATCCCAGTATGCAGCACAGATTCGACAGTCGGATTTGCGGTGCGAAGGCAATGATCTGCGGGTTTTTGGGTTGTCATCATGGCAAGCGACCGAAGGATTGCAAGGCGAGACTCCCAAAATTGCGACTTGCAGGGAAGAGTGTGATTCTCACCGTGTGTTTGACGCACCCGCAGGCGAACAATGCTTCAATGGTACTAGCTTGGACCCGACAGTTTGGTATCGTGGTGATAGTGCTGCAATGCCCACATGAGCCTTCCATTCACATGACAGAGAGGCTCAGACGGGGACACTTTCCGCTGCAGCTATGTGGGCAGTTGCCATTCAAAGACTTGGACAGGATTCGGCTGCCCACCCAACCCAATCGTTTTCTCATCTCGTCGCCCCGGCCCTCGTTTGTTGTTTGGCTTCGCTTGTCGCCTCGCCTATTCTTCTTTGATCAGGGTTAAACTGATTTCTGCAACACGACTGAATCGCCTTGTTAGAAAATCACATATAGAGGTGTCGACTGGGTTCATTCGGCCAGACAACAGCGAGGTTGGGTGGGATATGGTTTGCAATATGTTGGACCACGCGCATCATGCACTTTTTTCTGCAGTCGATCGAAGAGAAGCATGCCTAGTTTCCTTGCAGAAAGTGGCTTGCTTCAGCTCACGCATTTGAGACAAGCAAACACAAAGGCGGATCCGACATCTCAGTCCATGTGGAAACAGTTTAGCTGGGGTAGTTTGATCTTCCTTCCAACACTGATCGACGGCCAACGGTGTTGGGAGGTAATAGTCATGGAAGCGAAGAGAAAGATCACTTGTGTCCAACGGACGGACGGACGGACGGACTGCCTTGCCTGTTCCAGCCTTGAAGGAACCAACAGCTACTAGTTGAAATGATACTCGCTAGGTCAAGGGTACACTAGATCATCCTTGCCCCTCAACTTATGTCGGCCGTGTGCGGGTGTTGTAGTAATTTGTTTGCTCTTGGAGGCATGCATGCTTAGACTGGTATAAGAACGGAAGGATGCCATACACTCATTTGCCCCTTCTCTGTTCTTGGCTGGTCACTTATACAAACCGCATCGCTTCACAGAAGGTCATCGAGATTATCCGCACTCCCATCAACAATCATTTCATCCACCATGCTTTTAATGCCTAGGCATCATGCTGGCCTAATTGGCCCAGCATTTGGTCTTGAAATGGACCGTCTCTCGTATCAAACTCGAGAATGCTCCACGAGTCGACCAATCTGGCAACTTAGGCCTCCGCCTGTCGCCAGCGTTTCAATAATAGAGCGTCTTCCCACAGAAGCTAGGGATATCATCTTATCACATTTGGACTATCAGTCTCTGATCTTCCTTTCTATGGTGAATCGACACTTTCATCGTTCAGTAATTCCTCAGCAAGTAGCAAGTCCGCTGGACAAGTTTTCATTCATTATGAGAGCGGCGAAGGACTTCCCGCAGCATCGGCCTAGCGAGAAAAGAAATAAACACCAACCAGGAAACTCCGAATGTTACTATTGCTTCCGTGTCAAAGCTCCGGAACACTTCGACGTTCTTCAAGCCACAATAGCATATTTCGACCCACAAGGCCGAGTCGTATCGGGTCGGTTTCCCAGGCCCGAGGACAAGCCTGCGGAGCTGCGTCGATTCTGTATCGAATGCGGGATCAGGACAGGGCTTCATCAACCTTCTGATTGTCTTGAAACAAAGACAGGCCAAAACCTCTGGGTCTGTAGTTGTCCAAGAGTGTGGCAGAAACTCGAGTGCTTGCGTTGCCCCGACTGTTCTTCCACATGTCCGTTGCGACCAAAGAAGAAGTGGTAGTGACTTGGCCAGCTAGTTGTTGTCTGTGCATTATTGCATTAGGGCATCTGGACGATGTATACACTTGGAAGACACGGGTATGCATGTCTATGGAGACTCCAACCATGAACCGGACGAATCCGGCGGCTTGTTGAAGAAACATGGGTGCCAGTTTGGCCAGGGATAGAGGAGTATAATGATATCTGTATTGGAACCATTGAAATGGGTTAATTATTGAGGTGCTAGTTGACAAATTTGATTCAATCTACTTTCTCATACAGAATTGTATGGGAACCTAACGTTATATGTAGATATAACATTACGAAGATATAAAGAGTAATTCGGAACATTCCCACGTTATAAACTAGTGCAGTCCTGTAATCTCAATGAGTATAATATTGACAATTGTATGCTCACTTCCATCCGGCTGTTTGGCAATCAATATCATCTTTTTCTTTAACTATATACTATCATTCAAGAGGTTGGTCACATCGGGAGTGGAAGCCATATTATTACCTCAGCTTGCGCATCCTTATATATGAATCATATCGCTCAAGCCTCACTCTTCTCCTTTACAGTTAGTGTTAAGGCGAGCCGATGAAAACCATTATGTAGAGTATAGCGAAAGACCAAAAGTTTCGCCAGTAAGGATAGTCAGGGGGGTTAGGTTTGGCGTGCTTTGTTAATTGCTTTATAACTATTTGTTAGATAGTAGCACTTGTCAGAATCGACATTCCAGATTATGAAGCACAATATTATATATAGGCCGCTGTTGTCAATCTAATCTCAACTATCGGACAGTCGCTTAACGCGATCGTGAATCACAGTCACCATCAAGAGTACTATAAAGGTTGATCAAGACTCTGCCTCCAGGCAATAATTCCTTTTCCTTTCTGCACCGCTATCCATCCAAGCATCTCTTACAATCATCCCTTGCAGTCATCTCATGAAGCTTTCGGGTATCTCTTAGTGTCTTTATCGTCCCTTAACGTCTCAGAGCTGATCAAGATGGACGAAAGAGATGGACCTTCTCCTGAAGAGACGGTTCTTACTCCGGTCTCAGCGACCGTGGCAATCAACAATATTCCGCCTCTTGATCTCCTACTAGATGCGCAGTCGAAAGAGGACTGCAATCACATTATTGCTGATGGTAATCAGGAGACGAAGGTGCAAACTCCATTCTAATCAACTCCAACGGCAATTAACCAACTCTCACAGTCCTCTAACAATCAACAAAAGCTAGAAGTTGCAACTGAGATTGCCTTAAACGAAGTCACAAATACCCGACAAAGTGAATTGCTGGAATATCAACTTTCTGCTTCACTCGATACAGTTGTGGTTGAATATGGTGGGACTTCGGGATCTGACCTTGACTCTACTTCCGATCTGGAGTTCTCGTCCGACGATGAGGACTGTGAGCACAAGACAACCGAGGAGTAAGATTACTTCTTATTAGCATGGGAATAGAGAAGGCTAACTTGTCTTCCTCAGTTTTATTCCCAAAGTCACAAACTGCCGCATCTCCTTTAGCAAGAATGGTATTGATACTTGCGACCTTAGAGCTGGCGACATGGATACTACTGATGCCCATCAGTCCAGTCACACGAAAATAGCTTCGCTACCCCTAAAACCCACCGAAACAACTTTTATCATCTTTGAGAACGAGTACTTCCAAGTCAAACGATCGCCACTTGCAGGCTGGGGAGCTTTTGCAGTTCGAGAGCTCAAGGAGGGAGATCAGATCCTCGTGGAAAAGCCACTCTTCACAGCTACTAACCTTACACTTTTTGACGGATTCGCCAGCTTGACCAAACCGCTGCGTGATGTTGCTTACAGTCTCCACGCCAACAGTAACTTCAAAGAAGGTCATCCGGTGGAATTACTGATCTGGAAGACGAATGCGTGAGTTGAGTAATGAGTATTGAGTGCGGGTTACACACATGCTAATCCAACTACTAGCTTCTCAACCCCCAACCCCATGTCAGGCAACTACGACGACGCAGGTCTGTTCCCGATTGCATCTCGATTTAATCACGCCTGTGAGCCGATTAACAGCGTCAGATGGCATTACAGCTACATCGACGACATTCTTGAGATGACAGTCCAAGCCGAAAGTGTCCAAGTTGGCCAGGAACTTACCATTTCATACGATGCACTGAGTCCAGTGGCACTGTATGACCGGTATGGTTTCCAGTGTAGTTGCGGCGGATGTTCAGGAGTCTCGGACCAGGAATTGGTAGAGAGGGAGGAGTATCAGTGGTATATCTAAGTGCTCAACCTGCTTTTTGTATTACGGGGGAGTTACTGCTTTGGGCAGTCTTGATACGCTGGCTTGAATTACAAATTGCCTTTCTATTTAGGCCTATGATAACTACGGCCTAAGATGTGCTTTAGCTCCCATGAAGTAACGTTTGCTGATGTTTAACACTTAGAGAAAGCCATATCGCTTTTGACTTCTATAAGATGCTACTGGCCCTTTCTTGACTTGGTCTTATAATTGCTGGTATTACTTGGTATTCCCTTGAACTATTAACTACTACTGTGAAATAAGAAAAAATTACAGACAGTCTTATAATATTGGGACTACTTCAGTTTTCAGACAACTCCTGTTGACATCACTCCCATCGTGGGACTGTTTAACTGCTTTACGGTTTTACATTGCATGTATTACATTAGGATTAAGCGACTTTATCTGTTAAACTCTAAATAAAAACGGTATATTTTACGATAGCAAAGTATTTAAATATGTCGTTTATAGTGAGCGTAATGATACCTGCTATACTGGGCTCTCGATATAAGCTTTGAAGCTATCGTTAAGAAGACTTCTGGGCCAGAGATTGGATTATAAAACGAAACAAAGAAAAAGTGAGAGGCTGGCAAGTAGGCATCCTAGAAACCTAAACGAATAAAGCAAGGGTTTATAGGATAATATAAGGATATACTGCAAGATTAACTAAATTCTCATAAGGGGTTAATCATAGATTAGTATCAGAAGGTATGCACTATCGTTAAAATGAGCATTATAGCGACTATTATATATATAAAAGAAAGAAACAGGTATCATTTTAGCAGATTATATTAATCTTCATCTAATGTCTGTCCTAAACGCCGTGCCATGCAACCAACATCCATTAATTCTAATCCTGACAGCCTCTAATCCCAGTATCGAATCTCGCCATCCATGCCCGCTGTAACTACCTTGCTCGTCTCTTGAGGATGCCACTTGACGCTGGTGATGGCCTGGTTGCCAGCCTTGAGCTTGTGATACATCTTGCATGTCTTCCAGTCCCAGAAGCATACGTAACCACCAGAGTCACCTGAAGCAAGGAACTGCCCGTCAGGACTGCAGTCCAGGTCGATACCCAGACCGGCGTTGTTATGGCCGCGGTAGCTCTTCTTTCTGTTTTGACGGAACTTGTCGTTTGCACCATAGACCAAGATCTGGTTGTCAGAGCTTTGGTATGCGACATATTTGCCACTTGGGTGAGGAGCCGCGCGGGTCATGGGATACATATCTGGCTCAGCAATGTACTTGATTGGGACGGGAATGCCGTAATCCCAGGCTCGGAGAGACTTGTCATCCGAAGTTGTCATGAAGCGTCGGTTGTCATCGACAAAGGTAATGGTGTTGATAGCCGCCAAGTGATGATCATACTCTTGCACAACTTCCTTGGTTCGGATATCGAACTGGACAATCTTCTTGTCCGACATACCAGCCAGAAACTCGTTGGCGTGTTCGGGGCCAGGGTTGAACTTGATAACGTGGGGGGTCTTGCCAGTTGTGAACTTGTTGACACATACACCTGTCTCTGTATCCCAAAGCTTGATCATGCGATCATATGATGAAGATAAGAATTGAGTGCCTGATGTGTTGAAGCAAATATCCGACAAAGCCTTTGAATGGCCGTGATAGGTTCGTAGTAGTTCCCGGTCGTGGTACACATCGAATATCTTGACGGTGGTATCGGCGCTGGCTGATAGAAGCAAATGTCCTGAAGTAGGGAAGAACTGTAGCGCAGTAACCGCCTTGGTGTGGTTCTTCCAAGAATGGATTTGCTTCTTTGGGATGTAATTGGTAACGCTTCCCACTTCCTTTCGAAGGTCGATATCCAGGTCCTGAGGAACATGCATATAAGTTCTGCCTTGGTAGTCGGTTTCGGCAGACCCGTGAAACTCGGTTCTCTCGTCTCCCATCTTTTCCGCCTCTTTTCGTTGTTCTAGCGCCTTGGTTGGTGCCTTGACAACTGTGCCACTCTCCACGACCTCTTCCTCCTCTTCCACAATCTCATATTCTTCATCGCTCGCCAGTTCCTCATCCTCTGCCACGATCTCGTACTCGGGCTTCTTGTATCGCGCCCAGGGTCCAACGTAGGAGCCGGGACCTTCTGCAATGATTGCGCTGCCCTTATCTTCACGTCCAGCTCGTATTCTCGCCGCTTCCGCTTTCAGTTCTGCGTTTGTCTGATACTGTCGCTCGGGTCCTCCTTGCCCTCCTTGTCGCTCGATAGCACGGTGTTTGCTTCGGAATGTGTGTTCGCTCAAGAAGGTCTCCTCTGCATGTCCGGTTGGGACGCTCTTGCGCTTCAAAGTATTGCTCTCGTCCTTGAACGGATTCAGGGGGCCGGCCTTGGGACGCGACAGGTCTTCGGCTGTAAAAGGCACCACAGCGTGATCGGGTTCAGCTTGCTCCCGAACAATGAGCGCATCCTGAGGCGCCATATTTGGCGGATACTCCCCAAAATCCGCCATGATGGATTTAGTGAAGAAAACGCGAGACCTGAGCCAAGGATAGAAGATCAATAGGGAGAAGCCGGGCAAGTTGACTGACAGCTTGTTGTCTTGCTACTTCTTAGGTTGTGCTGAAGGAAGAAGAAGCGGGCTGCTGATCAGGTATTGCTTTTATATTATTTAAGAATAAGGTTGCTTTAAGCCTTACTGTTTAAAACCGAAAGCTTCAGAGCGAGGGGGAAAGTCGGTATTAGGCTTCAGAAATCGTGTAGAACCATCAAATAGAAGATCAATGGCCTTGGAACGGATCTAGGATCACAACGAAGTGATTAAATAGACGAGTTCTTTTCCCGCGACTCACTTGGTAAGGCGGTAGAGAGGTATGGGTGATAATTGTGATAGATGCGCGCAATGTGTAGCTAATAAACTTCATTGAAGCGCGACAGCTTTAGAACTGAATTCCAAATATTAAAGATCACGTGATCATGATCGCATACCTAGCGCATGAGCGAGCGGCTTCGCAGGTTACCAAAGTTTGAAAGCGGGATTAGAGGAAATTTATATACAATATCTAACAAACATTTATTTATACTTTAAAACGGTATACAAGTCATTTCAGACTCTTATCCTTTCATTTGATAATGGCTGCCGAAACATGATGGTATGTAAAATCCACAAGCTGTTCCAAAGCATAAGAACTGACTATTTTTATTCGGTCATTAATCAATTATCTCACTGGCTATACGCTGAAGGAGGACGGATAAGACCACCGAATCGGGTGATGCCTCAGTCTCCAACAAAATATGCCATGCACCGCCTTCGCCAAGTAATAAACCAGAGCGCCAGCTGGCATGATACCAGGATATATACGCCAAGCCCGTCTCTTTATAAAAAAAAACCGTCACCATTCTATACCATACCATCTTCCACTCGTTATGTGCTGCCGTGGCAGATTCATATCTTCTCGTCGCGTGACTGATCGACTCGGCCCTGGGTGTCAGCCGAGTTCGACTAGCTGGATAAACATTGCGATCTCTTCTATCTGACGTAGACAATGCCTAACATCGGGAATAATCGGATCACGGCTCGGCTAAGAGAGTAACCACTTAGGAAGACTCGTCTCGGATAAGAGCAACAATCATGCTGTAGAGGTAGAAGAAGAACATGATCAAGTGGAAGCCCAGCTTGAAAAAAGATTCCTGTTTCGGGTTAATACTGTGCTTTTGCATGTCCAGAACTGTTTTCATACCTTCTTGTGGACGTTAAGCTTGCGGAAGATCTCAGTCGCATCGAGGAGGTGAGTGTTGTCAACGATCCTAATATTTGTTAGTATTTCGTCTCGAGTTTTAAGACCAGGCAACTTACTTCTTGACGTTCCAGCCAAGGAGAGGCAGGTTGAGAATAAGAGGCACCCAGTATCCGTTGATAAGGAAGAGGAATGTCAAGAAACCGTGTACGGCAGCCTCTGGGATGATGTAGGTGTTGAGTCGGTTGCAGAGGTCAATAGGGTTAATGTAGTCACTGTAATTGGACGATCAGCCTTCATCCAATGTGGCACTTCAGATACGCGCATCTGGGGCGCAAAGTTTGACCACCGAGGCAGTATGGGAAAGGGCCGCTGCAAACATACCATTCCAAGTCACTGTACATAATAGTGAAAAAGACCTGCAAAAAGAGGTTGACGGCGTTGATAAGCACCGACAGCAGGAACAACCAAGCTTCTCCGGACATCATCTTGGGCTAAAGTTTGTACGGACGACGTTGACGTTGTAGGTGGGTGGTCGAGTCAAGTTGGGGATGACGATGTTAGTCGAGGACAAGGACAGCTAGCTGTTTGTCAAGCAAGCTCTGTCACAAGCTGGAAGTTGAGGGTCTGGCGAAGCGCGAAGCCAGGGATGATAAGCCTCGGGGGAAGAGTTGAATCGCAAGTGGATAGCTGCTGATATCGACAGTGCCTTGCAGAGAAAGGATTCAAATGTCAGAACGTGAGGGGAATACTGTAGTGAAGAGGAGAAATCTTGGTGGCGGGCAATGGATGGGGATTATGGTGGTAGTGTAGTGGCAGCGGTGGTGACTTCTGGTGGAGATGGTGGAGGTGGGGAGGGACCTGGAGAGGTTAGGTACAGCATTAGGCTTAGGCAGGTTTAAAGCTAGTAGTGATGATGGAAGCGGCGACGAGCTCACAGGGCACAACTTTTGAATTGAGAACAGCTAAGAAATCTCCAAATCCCCTGTAGATAAATTGATCCTGGCAAGTCCTACCGGGTCCCCTGCACTGGAAACGCCCTTGACGGCAGATGGCGTGGCCGATGGACGCCTGCATGTGGCTGAGAGCCATCCATCTCTGCGCTTCGAAACTTGACAGCAAGTGCCATTTGCGTCACTCCACAGATACATTAGTAGTAGTAACTACCCAAACCCGTGCCCAGAGAACTTGGACTGTGACCCTGATGATGTAACGATGGATGATCTACCTTTAGGTAGTATGTAGCTGGCTTGATAACAGATAAACAAGCAAGACTGATATCACAGCTTCACATG